TCAGACTACACAGACTAGCTTAAAGCTTAGATCAGTCTACACACACATAAACTTTGTGCTCGCAACATACTAACTTTTTGTACTTATAACACACTAATTGAGACATTCTCTTTTTTTGTAAGAGCAAAAAGTGCGGTATTTACGGTTTTTGCGCCCAGGTTCTCCCTTCTGGACTTCATTACTTAAATCAGTAGATTTTACGAGATAATGGCTTATGTTTTATAGTAAAGATTTTTTCAAAGTCGGCACTTCAATTCACATCTCCATCTAAGGAATTTTCTTCTATTAAGGTTTTTTTTATTGTTCTTGATCATATTCATAGCTGAAGTTCACTGAGATGATTGACCCTTGATAGTTGACCAAACATGTCCGTTCTTACTGCAAAGTGTATTTCCGGAGACACAGCGTATAAAACTTCTCAAAGCCTGGAGAATGAGCAGAAGTAGATGGGTGAGCTGCTGCGGCAGTTGTTGAGACAGTTTCTTCAGTGTGAGCAGATTTTAAAGAGAAAACTTTATCAGTAACGTAATTGTTCTCATGTTCACTTTGAACATCATCCACAGCTTGATGATCCTCCTCTTCTGATGCTGATCCTCTCAGAGAACCATGATCTTCTTCGTCTAAGATCGCCAAAACATCAGCACTGTTTAGCCGTTTTGATCGTGATCGTGAAAAACGATTTAACCGTGCTTTGTGACATTACTTGGGGGAGGCCTATGTTCAGCAGTGGACTTGTGAAGGGCTGTAATGATGATGATGATGATGATGATAATCGTGTTTTATCTGAGGCTTATTGCTCGAGTATCCCGGGGTTTGATATTGTTATAGAATATGTGTGATAAGCGGGAGCTTTCTTTCTCTTTATCTTGTTCTCTGGCAATATAGTTTAATATTCTCTTTACAGAAAATGTACGTATGCAAGTCGAAAACGTTTTTTATTTTAACCCTTCAATCGCAATAAAAAGCAAGCAAAAAACATTAAAACTTATATTTAGAGACTACTCTTTAAGAATGAGTTTGGCATTATAAAATCTATACAAAATTCTCTATCCTGTGGTCTAAACAAAAGTCGGGTTTTTCTGTATTATAAAAAGATTTTATTGTATTTTGATAACAAAAAAAAAACATGTCAAGCAAATGTGGGCAGCGTGAAAATCACAATTATTTCAATATATATTACTCGAAATTACTTACGTAAAAAATAAATTATATTCACACAAAATCTTACAATTTTAAAATAAAACACTTTACTTAAACACTAGAAAAATCCAAAAATCAGCACAATAACATTCACGCGAAAATGGCGTACGAAATGAACGAAGATTATAAATAAATATCCATTAGATAACTGTTTTTATTACTACACAAGAGGATAGAAAATTTCATTTTGATTCTATAATGCCACACTTGTATGAGTCAAAGTGCTGTGGGTGGGTGCGGTCTCATGAGACCACTAGGGATTAGACGGATCTCATGAAACTGCTAGGGGATTGAGAGGTAAAATTTTTTTCTACCCTATTTCCGCCAATCAGTCTGCCGCACATGCACTCAGAGAGGTCCGCCAAGGTGTTTTAGGACAATGAAGTAGTAGTAGTAAGTAATCCGTGCTACCCCATCTACGTTAGCGGACCTCACATAATATTTACGATGTATTTATTTTAATTTCACAGATATGCAGTTTTCCTCACGAAGTTTTTCCTCAGCACCAAACACGTTGCTTGGCATCGGCGGGGATGAATCCGGCTTGCATTTACGGCGAGCGCTTAGCCCCTGATCTACTACAGCATAGAATTCCTGCTATTGTCTTGGCTTACTCTTACATAATTAAATATAGAAAAATGTAATCTTAGTGACGTCAATTATCCGAGGAAATATTTACAAAAGAGGTTATCTAAAAGACTGGTTCCTCTTAAGTGGTCTACAAATTTTTCTTTCCACTTTCCGCTTAACAATTTACAACTCTGCGATTTATTTAATGTACTTAGATAAAAGGAAGATTGATGCTTCCCTTTTCTCGGTACTTATAAAAAACTAAATGACACAGAGACAAAGAACCCATTTATATTGTTCTATTCAGAACTTTTTGCTTTAATGAAAATTTATTAACATTCTTTTGTTATATGCTTAATTTTATAATTAATTATTGAGTAGAAGATTATAAATTCCTATTTACAATACGATCTGGATTTTTATCGTTTATTATACAAAATTTTTTGATACTCTTAATGACCTAAAAATAAGCATAAACTCTCATGTATATCACCCATTGGGATAAGTAGAGATTACGGTGGTATTTCGCATAATCCAAACACATCTCTGTCATTTTTTATGCTTGTTGGTTTAGGGGTTCATTTAACTTAATCTATCTTCGTTATATCGCCAGTTTTGTTGATAAACCGTCCTCTAGGCCGTCCGTTGTCAACTTTTCCACAACCTTTTAATTTTTACTGCAATTTCTGCACCATAAATTTGCTTCGACTCTCTTACCTCATTCATTCTATTTACGTTCCCGAACCAAAGAAAGCATTCTTTTTGATCCTGGCCACAACATCATTTCAATGACCAGAACACTGTTACAATGCACAATCGTCGCATTTTGTTTTGTTAATTAAATTAGCCGGTAGAAACGAAAAGTTTCGCTCCTTTCCCGCACGGGTCTACCCAGGGGGGAGGGGGACTAGATTGATGGCCTCATTTTGTTCCTCCAATGGGAGACACGCTCGCCAAAGTGAAAGGAAGTGCGTTGCGGCTGTGAAGCAAGTGCATTTAACGCAGTGCCAGTTGAGCCACAGAACAGTACAATACAAACTTTCGACGTGGCTGCAAAGCAACCCCAATGGCAGTGCAATTTTGTCGTACAAAGTACCGCTCGTTTAATCTTGACAACAATCCAGTGCAATTCGGTCTTGTTCGCAAGCCGACGATGGGTCTCAGTTATTATCATGCCCGCATGGCCGTGGAGAGAGACCGCCCGCCGCTTCCCCAAGTAAGTATTAGTTCCAATTTATGAGCTCTTTTATTTTCTTGTTCCTTTTTCTCACAGCTGCTCATGCTCCTGTCGTGACGACTAACACATTAAATTAGATTATAGCAAGTATATTGTCCAAAACCTGCCACGTGTCACGTCCGCCACATTGTTTTGGTTCATAACGAGCCACGTTGGACCATTTGGTTCCGAACTTTGAAGTTGAAATCGAACCGGAGACCTTGTGGCCCAACCATATTTGAGATACTTCGATCCGAATTAGAATTAGCAACCATTAGCCTCACAATTTGTGGTCCATTCGCTCCGCATTTGAACTGGTAACCCCTGGCCAATCCAGCACAAAAATTATTCTTTTTATTTGTTTTACGAAAAACGAAACACACAATTTGGTTTGAATGCGTGGATTATTATTTATAGGAAATGGGGCGTTTTGTCCAATGGTGGAAATAAGTGGTGGGAGGACTTTAAATATGTAATCACATATTCTCTCCTCCCACAGAGCAATGACAACTCATTGCTCTGTGGATTGACATCGACAAGTCAAGGGCAAAGTGCTCGTCGTAATTTTCAGCCGTAGAGTGAGCTGCCTGGATTCGATCCTCATCGGCACTAACGAAATTGTTAAGTGTAATTTTAAGTGGTAATTTACTACGTTTCGGGGGCTTACTATGCACGTTTTGTGATTTTGTGTTTGTCTTCTTATTTTGTGACTCAGCTTTAACATTTTGGACTGTTTCTTCTATATTCTTTGAAGCATGTGGCCATGTCAAAAACTATGATTGGGCAAAAGTGGTAGAAAAAGAAAACAAAAAAAAGATAATGGATGACTTTGAGAGATATTAATTTTGACTTTTGAAAATTGAAAATCAAATAATAATTAGTCTAAACAAAGACAGCTCAAGTAGTTGTTCTGAAAGTGATTGAATAAATTTATTTTTAATCTAGTTTCAATCTAAAATTTTTATAATTGTGCCTCTAGAAATAAGCAGTTACAACAAATGCGAAGAAACTGATAAATCTTGTGTTTAAAATTATCCATTTTTAATTTATTCTGGTATTATTCAAACCAAACTATAAATGATTACTAACACAAATCAACGTTCCGGGAAGTCTGCAGTTTGTGATCATATCCTAGACGGACCCAACCATTACATCAGATTTGATAGACCACAAATCCTCGCGAAAGAACACCGATTCCTACCAAGAATGATACGTGAGGCTATTGAAATTAAAAAACATCCTAATTTCAATAGAGAAGGAGGCTGGGTACTACCACCTGCTTGGGATCCTATAATCAATAAAATTAAAACTAAACCCAAGCATACCATTGCAAGACCTCAGGACATAGTCAGTTCATTTTGCATAGATCGGACCATAAACAATAATTAAAAAAGCTGAAGGTACTCCGGGTTTAACAATGACATCGGGACGTCAGTCATCTCAGTCCCCCGTGACCATGGGAGCTGGAAAGCGGGAATTAAAAATAAAAGTAAATAAAAAGTAAAAATAAACGCGATAAAATCCGTAAAAGTAGTTTTAATCCTCATTACTAACTCCAAATAATCGATATTCATTTTTTAATAATCGAATATTGTACGTTCCCATTTTTTGGTTGGCATGCTTGGTGCAATAAGTCTGACAGCTGTCAAAATGTATTTCTTAGTTGGTTCACTATAGTTAATTAAATGAGTGAACTTCGTGCTTTATCAGCCTTTGTTAATTTATACAGTACACATTTTAGGTAATCCTATTCCTGTGTTGTCATAAGCTTTATAATAATAATAATAATAATAACAATAATAGGCGTAGGGAATTGACGACCCCATCGCCCGCTGACGTAACAGTTAAGTGACAAAACTGCTACGTCAACGCAGTCAGTCAGCGCCTTGCGAGAGGTGTGAGCGCCGTGCCTCTGCAGAATTCAGGGTGCAAAGGCCCGTTTGTGCTTATGGCCGTCCACGATACGGTGCCGGGCCTGGGCGTCTCCCGTTAATGGACGCCCATATTATGGATGATGGAGAAAAAGATAGTGCGCAAAGGGCCGCTGCCTGGAGGTCGCCAGGGCGCGTCTGGAGCTGGCGCTGGACGCGACAGCATGCGGGCCGCCAGCCGAGCGCGGGGTGTTGCAAGACCACCTAGCAGCCCCCCGCATCCATCATCCCCACCAGAAGGCTTGGTGTCGGCTGGGTCTTCTCGGACTCAGCAAGCGGCACCCGCCGCTGGTGGAGCACGTCGCATGCGTTGGTCTAAATCAATGAATGAAAACGCACTGCGGGCGTATTTTAGGGCAAAAGGGGAAGAAACTGGATGTTTGGCGTATCGGGCTCGGATGCATCGCTTTTTTGCAGAGCTGGAGCCATCTCTATCCGTCACTGAGCAAAACCTGGCAGACCGAGTTAGGTACATCCTGCGCTCCAACATATTTGGTGACGCCGAACTCGAGCGACTACGACGTGAGGCTATTCCTTCATCGAATGGAAATGCTACGGCTGGGAATGCGGCGCCACTAGATGCGCAACAAACTGCATATGTGGATGCTGACATCAACATTCCATTTGTGGCTAATTCAGACGATGATGGAATAGTCTCCCACGAACTAGAGAAAATGAGGAGCATATTGGAAGAGTCGATGCTGGAAACGCGCAGTATGCCTCTCGAAAATCGACCGCGACTTCCCCGCATACCCCTTAGCAAGCGAAATCGGGCTGTCGTGCGGGCTCTTAACCCAATGCTGGTGACCTATTTGGAAGCCAGCCGGGACCTTTGCGAGACGGATTCAATTCTTTTTGGCGCCGCACTGGCAGTATGCCGTATTATTGGCGCCAAACTTCCCGTGGCTGGACGTGCTACTCAAAAAAGTAGCGCCATCCCAGCCTGGAGAAAAAGAATTGAGGACCGTATCGCAAAGGCAAGGGCCCTTATCGGCAGACTGACAAGCTTCAGGTCGGGTAATAATAGACCGAGGATTATGCGCACCGTTAGGATGGCGTTTGCTGGGACAAATATCAGTTTGTTCCAGCCGGATATCACGCAAAAACTAACGGAGCGCATAGATGACCTGAAGCAAAAAGTCGCTGCTTGGGGGAAGCGGATTCGACGATTTAGCGAGAGGTCAAGGCGGTTCAACCAGAATCGTCTCTTCCAGAGTGATCAGAAGAGGCTCTATAAATCATTGGAGCGACCAGAGGTATGTGGAGCGGGCCCAGGACCGGATCAGGATGACACTGTCGCATTTTGGCGTGGCCTGTGGTCAGAGCCCGTAAACCACAGCGAGGGCCCTTGGATGGAAGTTGTGGCGAGCCAGAGTGCAAGTGTTACGCCTATGGACCCCGTCACCATAACGCCTGAAGACGTGGCTGAGGCGGTCCGTAGGGCCCCGAACTGGAAAAGTCCGGGGCTCGACGGGCTGCATCATTACTGGCTGAAGGGGTTCGTAGTGTGTCACGCTGTGCTCGCCCGACAGTTTCAAGAGGCTCTCGATCAGAAGTCGCTCCCGAGCCTCTTCACTACTGGGATCACTCATTTGGTTCCTAAAGATCAGGATACCACAGACCCGAGCAAATACCGCCCCATCACGTGTCTACCCACCATATATAAGACACTGACATCCATTTTGAGCGCGAGAATCACTCGTCACCTGGAGCTAAATCAGGTGATGTCACGCGCTCAAAATGGATGCCGGGGCGCAGGTCGTGGAACCAAGGAACCACTTCTCATTGACGCGGTCATTGGCAAAGTGGTGAAACGCAACCGTCGGAATTTCTCCGCCGCCTGGATAGACTACAGAAAGGCATTCGACTCGGTGCCCCATACATGGCTAAAGAGAGTCCTCCAGCTGTACAAAATTGACTGTACAGTTGGAGACTTCCTCGAGCAGTGTATGGGGCAATGGAGTACGATCCTTTGCTATCTGGGCGAGCGGATGATGGCTGCGGAGAACCACATAAGGATAAGAAGGGGTATCTTCCAGGGCGATTGTCTGAGTCCAATCTGGTTTTGCCTCTCCCTGAACCCTCTCAGTACTTTACTGGAGGGCTCCGGGAGGGGATTTCAGCTTCAGAAAGGAGGTACAAAAGTGACCCACCTTTTCTATATGGATGACCTCAAGTTATTCGCCTCCAGTCGCTCCCATCTTATGGAATTGCTAAACATCACTTGTGAATTTAGCAATTCTATTGGAATGGAGCTGGGAACGGATAAGTGTGCGGTCCTCCATGTTGAAAGGGGGGAGGGTTGCTAACTCTGAGGGCATAGACTTATCTATGCCCGTCAACTTAAGGACCCTTTCCGAGGCTGAAACATACCGATACCTGGGTATGTCACAGAACATCGGTATCGATGAGGCTAGTATGAAACAGTCAGTTTGCGACGTGTTTTATGCACGCTTGACCAAAGTGCTTAACAGCCTTTTGTCCGGTGTGAATAAGACACACGCATATAACAGCTGGGTCATGCCTGTCCTCATGTATACCTTTGGCATACTCAGGTGGACTCAGACTGAACTTAACGCCCTGGATAGAAAAGTCCGCACTACCATGACGTCCCACAGGATGCATCATCCGAGATCGTCGGTAATGAGGCTGTACTTGCCGCGAAAGCATGGTGGGCGTGGCTTCTTGAGCGCGCTCACCATGCATAATCGCGAAGTGTGCAGCCTCCGTAATTACTTCTTGGCGAGATCGGATGATCCATTCTATAAGGACGTCATTTCTAGTGATAAAGGATTTACCCCTCTATCCTTAGCCAACGAGCAATGGCAAGACCCGGCAGTGCAGACAATTTCCGACCGGGAGAACGTATGGAAGGAGAAGGAGCTCCACGGGAGGTTCTACAAGGCTCTACATGAGCCTTTCGTAGACACAGTAGCCTCCCTCCACTGGCTACGCTTTGGTGATCTCTTCGGGGAAACCGAGGGTTTTGTCTGTGCAATACAGGATCAGGTTATTAAGACCAACAACTATCGGAGATACATCCTAAAGGATGGCACCGTGGACATCTGTCGAGCTTGTCGCCATCCCGGTGAGTCACTTAGGCATGTCATCTCCGGTTGTTCGGCGCTTTCTAACTCTGAGTACTTGCACAGGCACAACCTAGTAGCCAGAATTCTTCACCAGGAGCTCGCTCTGAAATACGGTCTCGTGGATCGGAAATTGCCGTATTACAAGTACTTGCCGGAAGCCGTGCTCGAAAATGATCGCGCCAGGCTCTATTGGGACCGGGCCATCATCACAGACAGGACTATTCTTGCGAATAAGCCTGATATTGTGCTGATGGACCGGGCACAGTCAAGGATATTTTTGGTCGACATTACCATTCCCTATGACGAGAACCTCGTGAAAGCCGAAACAGACAAGCAAACAAAATATCTGGACCTGGCTCACGAGGTGACGGACATGTGGGGTGGTCTGCCGACCGAAATTATTCCTGTAGTCGTCTCTGCAAACGGGCTAATCCCAGTCAGCCTCTCGGGTCATCTGAGGCGACTGGGACTACGTGGCGGACCGCTCCGGGCTCAAATGCAGAAGGCGGTGCTCCTCGATACCGCCCGCATCGTCCGCCGGTTTCTTTCCCTTTCCCCCTAACCCTCGGCCGTTTGGTCTCCCCTGCCGAGGGCCTCCATCTGGTTGGGCTTTTATTTATTTATGTATTTTTATATTTATTTTATGTTATTGATATATATGTATATTTATCTTTTCATTTTCATTTATAATTATATATTTATAGAACCCAACCAGATGAGAAAACTATATAGATACCCCAAATAATAATAAGGCGTAGGGAAGTGACGACCCCATCGCCCGCTGACGAAACAGTTAAGTGACAAAACTGCTACGTCGGTGCAGTCAGTCAGCGCCTTGCCAAGAGGTGTGAGCGCCGTGCCTCGGCAGTACTCAGGGTGCAAAGGCCCGTTTGTGCTTACGGCCGTACAATGATACAATAAAACGGTGCCGGGCCTGGGCGTCTCCCGCTAATTGGCGCCCAAAAATGGATGATGGATACAGATTGGAAAACGTATAGGGCCGCTGCCTGGGGGTCGCCGGGGCGCGTCTGGAGCTGGCGCTGGACGCGGCAGCATGCGGGCCGCCAGCCGAGCGCGAGGAGCTGCAAGATCACCTAACAGCCCCCCCGCATCCATCATCCCCACCAGACGGCTTGATGTCGGCAGGGTCCTCTCGGACTCGGCAAGCGGCATCCGCCGCTGGTGGAGTGCGCCGCATGCGTTGGACAAGGGATATGAACGCAAACGCAATGCGGGCGTACTATAGGGCGAAAGGGGAAGAAACTGCGGGGATAGCGTATCGGGCTCGGATGCATTGCTTTTTTGCTGAGCTGGAGCCGTCTATTCCCGTCACGGAACAAAACCTGGCAGACCGAGTTCGGTACATCATGCGCTCGAAAATATTCGATGATGCCGAGCTCGAACGACTACGACGTGAGGCCATTCCCTCATCGAATGAATTGGCTACGGCTGGGGATGAGGCTCCTCAGGCGACAGACCAGCTGCCACGAGTAGAAGCCGCCATGGATCTTCCAGTTGTGGGTGATTCAGACGATGATGAAATGGTCTCCCACGAACTAGAGCAAATGAGGAGTATATTGGAAGAGGCGATTTTAGAAACGCGCAGCATGCCTCTCGAAAATCGACCGCGACTTCCCCCGCATACCCCTAAGCAAGCGAAATCGGGCTGTCGTGAGGGCTCTTAACCCAATGCTGGTAACCTATTTGGAAGCCAGCCGGGACCTTTGCGAGACGGACTCAGTTCTTTTTGGCGCCGCAGTGGCAGCTTGCCGTATTATTGGCGCCAAACTTCCCATGGCTGGACGCGCTACTAAACAAAGTAGCGCCATCCCAGCCTGGAGAAAAAGAATTGAGGACCGTACCGCAAAGGCAAGGACCCTTATCGGCAGACTGATAAGCTTCAGGTCGGGTAATAATAGACCGAGGGTTGTGCGCACCGTTAGAATGGCGTTTGCTGGGACAAATATCAGTTTGTCCCAGCCGGATATCACGCAGAAACTAACGGAGCGCATAGACGACCTGAAGCAAAAGATTGCCGCTTGGGGGAAGCGGATTCGCCGATTTACCGAGAGGTCAAGGCGGTTCAACCAGAATCGTCTCTTCCAGAGTGATCAGAAGAGGCTCTACAAATCATTGGAGCGACCAGAGGTATGTGGAGCGGGCCCAGGACCGGATCAGGCTAACACTGTCGCATTTCGGCGTGGCCTGTGGTCAGAGCCCGTAAACCACAGCGAGGGCCCTTGGACGGAAGTTGTGGCGAGTCAGTGTGCGAGTATTACGCCCATGGACCCCGTCATCATAACGCCGGATGACGTAGCTGAGGCGGTCCGTAGAGCCCCGAACTGGAAAAGTCCGGGACTCGACGGACTGCATCACTACTGGCTGAAGGGGTTCATGGTGTGTCACGCTGTGCTCGCCCGTCAGTTTCAAGAGGCTCTCAACCAGAAGTCGCTCCCTAGCCTCTTCACTACTGGGATCACTCATTTGGTTCCTAAAGACCAGGTTACCACAGACCCGAGCAAATACCGCCCCATTACGTGTCTACCCACCATATATAAGACACTGACATCCATTTTGAGCGCGAGAATCACTCGTCACCTGGAGCTAAATCAGGTGATGTCACGCGCTCAAAATGGATGTCGGGGCGGTGGTCGTGGAACTAAGGAACCACTCCTCATTGACGCGGTCATTGGCAAAGTGGTGAAACGCAACCGTCGGAACTTCTCCGCCGCCTGGATAGACTACAGAAAGGCATTCGACTCGGTGCCCCATACATGGCTAAAGAGAGTCCTCGAGCTGTACAAGATAGACTGTACAGTGAGAGACTTCCTCGAGCAGTGTATGGGGCAGTGGAGTACGATCCTTTGTCATCTGGGTGAGCGGATGATGGCTGCGGAGAACCACATAAGGATAAGAAGGGGTATCTTCCAGGGCGATTGTCTGAGTCCAATCTGGTTCTGCCTCTCCCTGAACCCTCTCAGTACCTTACTGGAGGGATCCGGGAGAGGATTTCAGCTACGGAAAGGAGGGACAAAAGTGACCCACCTTTTCTATATGGATGACCTTAAGTTATTCGCCTCCAGTCGCTCCCATCTTGTGGAATTGCTAAAAATCACTTGTGAGTTTAGCAGTTCCATTGGAATGGAGCTGGGGACGGATAAGTGTGCGGTCCTCCATGTTGAGAGGGGAAGGGTTGCTAACTCTGAGGGCATAGATTTATCTATGCCCGTCAACTTAAGGACCCTTTCCGAGGCTGAAACATACCGATACCTGGGTATGTCACAGAACATCGGTATCGATGAGGCTGGTGTGAAACAGTCAGTTTGCGACGTGTTTTATGCACGCTTGACCAAAGTGCTTAATAGCCTTTTGTCCGGTGTGAATAAGACACACGCATATAACGGCTGGGTCATGCCTGTCCTTATGTATACCTTTGGCATACTCAGGTGGACTCAGACTGAACTTAACGCCCTGGATAGAAAAGTCCGCACTACCATGACGTCCCATAGGATGCATCATCCGAGATCGTCGGTAATGAGGCTGTACTTGCCGCGAAAGCATGGTGGGCGTGGCTTTCTAAGCGCGCTCACTATGCATAATCGTGAAGTGTGCAGCCTCCGTCATTACTTCCTGGCGAGATCGGATGATCCATTCTATAATGACGTCATTTCTAGTGATAAAGGGCTTACCCCTCTATCCTTGGCCAACGAGCAATGGCAGGACCCGGCAGTGCTTAGCATTTCCGACCGGGAGACCGTATGGAAGGAGAAGGAGCTCCACGGGAGGTACTACAGGGTTCTACATGAGCCCTTCGTAGATACAGTCGCCTCCCTCAACTGGCTACGTTTCGGTGACCTCTTCGGGGAAACCGAGGGTTTTGTCTGTGCAATACAGGATCAGGTTATTAAGACCAACAACTATCGGAGATACATCCTAAAGGATGGCACCGTCGACGTCTGTCGAGCTTGTCGCCATCCCGGGGAGTCACTTAGACATGTCATCTCCGGTTGTTCGGCGCTTTCTAACTCTGAGTACTTGCACAGGCACAACCTAGTAGCCAGAATTCTACACCAGGCGCTCGCTCTGAAATACGGTCTCGTGGACCGGAAATTGCCGTATTACAAGTACTTGCCGGAAGCCGTGCTCGAAAATGACCGCGCCAGGCTCTACTGGGACCGGGCCATCATCACAGACAGGACTATTCTTGCGAATAAGCCTGATATTGTGCTGATGGACCGGGCACAGTCAAGGATATTTTTGGTCGACATTACCATTCCGTATGACGAGAACCTCGTGAAAGCCGAAACAGATAAGCAAACAAAATATCTGGACCTGGCTCACGAGGTGACCGACATGTGGGGTGGTCTGCCGACCGAAATTATTCCTGTAGTCGTCTCTGCAAACGGGCTAATCCCAGTCAGCCTCTCGGGTCATCTGAGGCGACTGGGACTCCGTGACGGACCGCTCCGGGCTCAAATGCAGAAGGCAGTGGTCCTCGATACCGCCCGCATCGTCCGTCGGTTTCTTTCCCTTTCCCCCTAACCCTCGGCCGTTTGGTCTCCCCTGCCGAGGGCTTCCATCTGGTTGGATCTTTATTTATTTGTGTATTTTTTTGTATTTATTTTATTTTATTGATATTTATGTATATTTATCTTTTCATTTTAATTTATAATTATATATTTATAGAAACCAACCAGATGAGAAAACTATACAGATACCCCAAAAACAATAATAATAACACTAAAACACAATAACAGAGTGATCAGAAGAGGCTCTATGAATCATTGGAGCGACCAAAGGTAAGTGGAACGGGTCCAGCACCGAATCAGGCCGACACTGTAGCATTCTGGCGCGGCCTGTGGTCAGAGCCCGTAAACCACAGCGAGGGCCCTTGGACGGAAGTTTTGGCGAGTCAGTGTGCGGGTATTACGCCCATGGACCCCGTCATCATAACGCCGGATGACGTAGCTGAGGCGGTCCGTAGGGCCCCGAACTGGAAAAGTCCGGGGCTTGACGGGCTGCATCACTACTGGCTGAAGGGGTTCATGGTGTGTCACTCTGTGCTCGCCCGACAGTTTCAAGAGGCTCTCAACCAGAAGCCGCTCCCAAGCCTCTTCACTACTGGGATCAATCATTTGGTTCCTAAAGACCAGGGTACCACAGACCCGAGCAAATACCGCCCCATCACGTGTCTACCGACCATATACAAGACACTAACATCCATTTTGAGCGCGAGAATCACTCGTCACCTGGACTCAAATCAGGTGATGTCGCGCGCTCAAAATGGATGTCGGGGCGGTGGTCGTGGAACCAAGGAACCACTCCTCATTGACGCGGTCATTGGCAAAGTGGTGAAACGCAACCGTCGGAACTTCTCCGCCGCCTGGATAGACTACAGAAAGGCATTCGACTCGGTGCCCCATACATGGCTAAAGAGAGTCCTCGAGCTGTACAAGATAGACTGTACAGTTAGAGACTTCCTCGAGCAGTGTATGGGGCAGTGGAGTACGATCCTTTGTCATCTAGGCGAACGGATGATGGCTGCGGAGAACCACATAAGGATAAGAAGGGGTATCTTCCAGGGCGATTGTCTGAGTCCAATCTGGTTCTGCCTCTCTCTGAACCCTCTCAGTACCTTACTGGAGGGCTCCGGGAGGGGATTTCAGCTACGGAAAGGAGGGACAAAAGTGACCCACCTTTTCTATATGGATGACCTCAAGTTATTCGCCTCCAGTCGCTCCCATCTTATGGAATTGCTAAACATCACTTGTGAATTTAGCAATTCCATTGGAATGGAGCTGGGGACGGATAAGTGTGCGGTCCTCCATGTTGAAAGGGGAAGGGTTGCTAACTCTGAGGGCGTAGACTTATCTATGCCCGTCAACTTAAGGACCCTTTCCGAGGCTGAAACATACCGATACCTGGGTATGTCACAAAACATCGGTATCGATGAGACTGGTATGAAACAGTCAGTTTGCGACGTGTTTTATGCACGCTTGACCAAAGTGCTTAACAGCCTTTTGTCCGGTGTGAATAAGGCACACGTATATAACGGCTGGGTCATGCCTGTCCTCATGTATACCTTTGGCATACTCAGGTGGACTCAGACTGAACTTAACGCCCTGGATAGAAAAGTCCGCACTACCATGACGTCCCATAGGATGCATCATCCGAGATCGTCGGTAATGAGGCTGTACTTGTCGCGGAAGCATGGTGGTCGTGGCTTCTTGAGCGCGCTCACCATGCATAATCGCGAAGTGTGCAGCCTCCGTGATTACTTCCTGGCGAGATCTGATGATCCATTCTATAAGGACGTCATTTCTTGTGATAAAGGACTTACCCCTCTATCCTTAGCCAACGAGCAATGGCAAGACCCGGCAGTGCAGAGCATTTCCGACCGGGAGACCGTATGGAAGGAGAAGGAGCTCCACGGGAGGTTCTACAAGGCTCTACATGAGCCTTTCGTAGACACAGTAGCCTCCCTCCACTGGATACGCTTTGGTGATCTCTTCGGGGGAAACCGAGGGTTTTGTCTGTGCAATACAGGATCAGGTTATTAAGACCAACAACTATCGGAGATACATCCTAAAGGATGGCACCGTCGACATCTGTCGAGCTTGTCGCCATCCCGGTGAGTCACTTAGGCATGTCATCTCCGGTTGTTCGGCGCTTTCTAACTCTGAGTACTTGCACAAGCACAACCTAGTAGCCAGAATTCTACACCAGGAGCTCGCTCTGAAATACGGTCTCGTGGATCGGAAATTGCCGTATTACAAGTACTTGCCGGAAGCCGTGCTCGAAAATGATCGCGCCAGGCTCTATTGGGACCGGGCCATCATCACAGACAGGACTATTCTTGCGAATAAGCCTGATATTGTGCTGATGGACCGGGCACAGTCAAGGATATTTTTGGTCGATATTACCATTCCGTATGACGAGAACCTCGTGAAAGCCGAAAAAGACAAGCAAACAAAATATCTGGACCTGGCTCACGAGGTGACCGAGATGTGGGGTGTTCTGCCGACCGAAATTATTCCTGTAGTCATCTCTGCAAACGGGCTAATCCCAGTCAGCCTCTTGGGTCATCTGAGGCGGCTGGGACTACGTGGCGGACCGCTCCAGGTTCAAATGCAGAAGGCGGTGCTCCTCGATACCGCCCGCATCGTCCGCCGGTTTCTTTCCCTTTCCCCCTAACCCTCGGCCGTTTGGTCTCCCCTGCCGAGGGCCTCCATCTGGTTGGGCTTTTATTTATTTATGTACTTTTATATTTATTTTATGTTATTGATATTTATGTATATTTATCTTTTCATTTTCATTTATAATTATATATTTATAGAACCCAACCAGATGAGAAAACTATATAGATACCCCACAATAATAATATATATATAATAATAATACTAATACTAATAATAATATAGGCGTAGGGAAGTGACGACCCCATCGCCCGCTGACGTAACAGTTATGTGACAAAACTGCGACGTCGGCGCAGTCAGTCAGCATCCTGCCAAGAGGTGTGAGCGCCGTGCCTAGGCAAAATTGTAGATGCAAAGGTCCGTTTGTGCATATGACCCAACCACGAAACGGTGCCGGGCTTGGGCGTCTCCCGTTATTTGGCGCCCATAAAATGGATGATGGTACAGAAAGGAACGCGCATAGGACCGCTGCCTGGGGGTCGCCGGGGCGCGTCTGGAGCTGGCGCTGGACCAGAACGACGATGAAATAGTCTCCCACGAACTAGAGCAAATGAGGAGTATATTGGAAGAGGCGATTTTGGAAACGCGCAGCACCCCTCTTGAAAATCGACCGCTGACTTCCCCGCATACCCCTAAGCAAGCGAAATCGGGCTGTCGTGAGGGCTCTTAACCCAATGCTGGTGACCTATTTGGAAGCCAGCAGGGACCTTTGCGAGACGGACTCGATTCTCTTTGGCGCCGCAGTGGCAGTTTTCCGTATTATTGGCGCCAAACTTCCCATGACTGGAGGCGCTACTCCACAAAGTAGCGCCATCCCAGCCTGGAGAAAAAGAATCGAGGACCGTATCGCAAAGGCAAGGGCCCTTATCGACAGACTGACAAGCTTCAGGTCGGGCAATAATAGACCGAGGATTGTGCGCACCGTTAGGATGGCGTTTGCTGGGACAAATATCAGTTTGTCCCAGCCGGATATCACGCAGAAACTAACGGAGCGCATAGACGACCTGAAGCAAAAGATCGCTGCTTGGGGGAAGCGGATGCGACGATTTTCCGAGGGGTTAAGGCGGTTCAACCAGAATCGTCTCTTCCAGAGTGATCAGAAGAAGCTCTATAAATCATTGGAGCGACCAAAGGTATGTGGAGCGGGCCAAGGAGAGGATCAGGCTGACATTATCGCATTCTGGCGTAGCCTGTGGTAAGAGCCCGTAAACCACAGCGAGGGCCCTTAGATGGAAGTTGTGGCGAGCCAGGGTGCGAGTGATACGCCTATGGACCCCATCACCATAACGCCAGAAGACGTGGCTGAGGCGGTCCGTAGGGCCCCGAACTGGAAAAGTCCGGGGCTCGACGGGCTGCATCATTACCGGCTGAAGGGGTTCATAGTGTGTCACGCTGTGCTCGCCCGACAGTTTCAAGAGGCTCTCCACCAGAAGTCACTCCCGAGCCTCTTCACTACTGGGATCACTCACTTGGTTCCTAAAGATCAGGATACCACAGACCCGAGCAAATACCGCCCCATCACGTGTCTACCCACCATATATAAGACACTGACATCCATTTTGAGCGCGAGAATCACTCGTCACCTGGAGCTAAACCAGGTGATGTCACGCGCTCAAAATGGATGTCGGGGCGGTGGTCGTGGAACTAAGGAACCACTCCTCATTGACGCGGTCATAGGCAAAGTGGTGAAACGCAACCGTCGGAACGTCTCTGCCGCCTGGATAGACTACAGACAGGCGTTCGACTCGGTGCCCCATACATGGCTAAAGAGGGTCCTCAAGCTGTACAAGATTGACTGTACAGTTAGAGACTTCCTCGAACAGTGTATGGGGCAGTGGAGTACGATCCTTTGTCATCTGGGCGAGCGGATAACGGCTGCGGAGAACCACATAAGGATAAGAAGGGGTATATTCCAGGGCGATTGTCTGAGTCCAATCTGGTTCTGCCTCTCTCTTAACCCTCTCAGTACCTTACTGGAGGGCTCCGGGAGGGGGATTTCAGCTACGGAAAGGAGGGACAAAAGTGACCCACCTTTTCTATATGGATGACCTCAAGTTATTCGCCTCCAGTCGCTCCCATCTTATGGAACTGCTAAACATCACTTGTGAATTTAGCAGTTCCATTGGAATGGAGCTGGGGACGGATAAGTGTGCGGTCCTCCATGTTGAAAGGGGAAGGGTTGCTAACTCTGAGGGCATAGACTTGTCTATGCCCGGTAACTTAAGGACCCTCTCCGAGGCTGAAACATACCGATACCTGGGTATGTCACAGAACATCGGTATCGATGAGGCTGGTATGAAACAGTCAGTTTGCGACGTGTTTTATGCACGCTTGACCAAAGTGCTTAACAGCCTTTTGTCCGGTGTGAATAAGTCACGCGCATATAACTGCTGGTTCATGCCTGTCCTCATGTATACCTTTGGCATACTCAGGTGGACTCAGACTGAGCTTAACGCCCTGGATAGAAAAGTCCGCACTACCATGACGTCCCATAGGATGCATCATCCGAGATCGTCGGTAATGAGGCTGTACTTGCCGCGAAAGCATGGTGGGCGTGGCTTCTTGAGCGCGCTCACCATGCATAATCGCGAAGTGTGCAGCCTCCGTAATTACTTCTTGGCGAGATCGGATGATCCATTCTATAATGACGTCATTTCTAGTGATAAAGGGCTTACCCCTCTATCCTTAGCCAACGAGCAATGGCAGGACCCGGCAGTGCTTAGCATTTCCGACCGGGAGACCGTATGGAAGGAGAAGGAGCTCCACGGGAGGTACTACAAGGCTCTACATGAGCCCTTCGTAGACACAGTCGCCTCCCTCAACTGGCTACGTTTCGGTGACCTCTTCGGGGAAACCGAGGGTTTTGTCTGTGCAATACAGGGTCAGGTTATTAAGACCAACAACTATCGGAGATACATCCTAAAGGATGGCACCGTCGACGTCTGTCGAGCGTGTCGCCATCCCGGGGAGTCACTCAGTCATGTCATCTCCGGTTGTTCGGCGCTTTTTAACTCTGAGTACTTGCACAGGCACAACCTAGTAGCCAGAATTCTACACCAGGAGCTCGCTCTGAAATACGGTCTCGTGGACCGGAAATTGCCGTATTACAAGTACTTGCCGGAAGCCGTGCTCGAAAATGACCGCGCCAGGCTCTATTGGGACCGGGCCATCATCACAGACAGGACTATTCTTGCGAATAAGCCTGATATTGTGTTGATGGACCGAGCACAGTCAAGGATATTTTTGGTCGATATTACCATCCCGTATGACGAGAACCTCGTGAGAGCCGAAACAGATAAGCAATCAAAATATCTGGACCTGGCTCACGAGGTAACCGACATGTGGGGTGGTCTGCCGGCCGAAATTATTCCTGTAGTCGTCTCTGCGAATGGGCTAATCCCAGTTAGCCTCTCTGGTCATCTGAGGCGACTGGGACTCAGTGACGGACCGCTCCGGGCTCAAATGCAGAAGGCGGTGCTCCTTGATACTGCCCGCATCGTCCGCCGGTTTCCTTCCCTTTCTCCCTAACCCTTGGCAGTTTGGTCTCCCCTGCCGAGGGCTTCCATCTGGTTGGGCTTTTATTTATTTATGTATTTTTGTATTTATTTTATTTTATTGATATTTATGTATATTTATCCTTTCATTTTCGTTTATAATTATATATTTATACATTCCAACCAGATGAGAAAACTATATAGATACACGCATAACAATAATAATAAAAAAGATTAAAGATAAATTAAGCTTTATTATACTAATAATAAAGCTTTATTTATCTTTATTTTATAATAATAATAATAAATAAGTCGCTCCCAAGCCTCTTCACTACTGGGATCACTCATTTAGTTCCTAAAGACCAGGGTACCACAGACCCGAGCAAATACCGCCCCATCACGTGTCTACCGACCATATACAAGACACTAACATCCATTTTGAGCGCGAGAATCACTTGTCACCTGGACTCAAATCAGGTGATGTCGCGCGCTCAAAATGGATGTCGGGGCGGTGGTCGTGGAACCAAGGAACCACTCCTCATTGACGCGGTCATTGGCAAAGTGGTGAAACGCAACCGTCGGAACTTCTCCGCCGCCTGGATAGACTACAGAAAGGCATTCGACTCGGTGCCCCATACATGGCTAAAGAGAGTCCTCGAGCTGTACAAGATAGACTGTACAGTTAGAGACTTCCTCGAGCAGTGTATGGGGCAGTGGAGTACGATCCTTTGTCATCTAGGCGAACGGATGATGGCTGCGGAGAACCACATAAGGATAAGAAGGGGTATCTTCCAGGGCGATTGTCTGAGTCCAATCTGGTTCTGCCTCTCTCTGAACCCTCTCAGTACCTTACTGGAGGGCTCCGGGAGGGGATTTCAGCTACGGAAAGGAGGGACAAAAGTGACCCACCTTTTTCTATATGGATGACCTCAAGTTATTCGCCTCCAGTCGCTCCCATCTTATGGAATTGCTAAACATCACTTGTGAATTTAGCAATTCCATTGGAATGGAGCTGGGGACGGATAAGTGTGCGGTCCTCCATGTTGAAAGGGGAAGGGTTGCTAACTCTGAGGGCGTAGACTTATCTATGCCCGTCAACTTAAGGACCCTTTCCGAGGCTGAAACATACCGATACCTGGGTATGTCACAAAACATCGGTATCGATGAGACTGGTATGAAACAGTCAGTTTGTGACGTGTTTTATGCACGCTTGACCAAAGTGCTTAACAGCCTTTTGTCCGGTGTGAATAAGGCACACGTATATAATGGCTGGGTCATGCCTGTCCTCATGTATACCTTTGGCATACTCAGGTGGACTCAGACTGAACTTAACGCCCTGGATAGAAAAGTCCGCACTACCATGACGTCCCATAGGATGCATCATCCGAGATCGTCGGTAATGAGGCTGTACTTGTCGCGGAAGCATGGTGGTCGTGGCTTCTTGAGCGCGCTCACCATGCATAATCGCGAAGTGTGCAGCCTCCGTGATTACTTCCTGGCGAGATCTGATGATCCATTCTATAAGGACGTCATTTCTTGTGATAAAGGACTTACCCCTCTATCCTTAGCCAACGAGCAATGGCAAGACCCGGCAGTGCAGAGCATTTCCGACCGGGAGACCGTATGGAAGGAGAAGGAGCTCCACGGGAGGTTCTACAAGGCTCTACATGAGCCTTTCGTAGACACAGTAGCCTCCCTCCACTGGATACGCTTTGGTGATCTCTTCGGGGGAAACTGAGGGTTTTGTCTGTGCAATACAGGATCAGGTTATTAAGACCAACAACTATCGGAGATACATCCTAAAGGATGGCACCGTCGACATCTGTCGAGCTTGTCGCCATCCCGGTGAGTCACTTAGGCATGTTATCTCCGGTTGTTCGGCGCTTTCTAACTCTGAGTACTTGCACAAGCACAACCTAGTAGCCAGAATTCTACACCAGGAGCTCGCTCTGAAATACGGTCTCGTGGATCGGAAATTGCCGTATTACAAGTACTTGCCGGAAGCCGTGCTCGAAAATGATCGCGCCAGGCTCTATTGGGACCGGGCCATCATCACAGACAGGACTATTCTTGCGAATAAGCCTGATATTGTGCTGATGGACCGGGCACAGTCAAGGATATTTTTGGTCGATATTACCATTCCGTATGACGAGAACCTCGTGAAAGCCGAAAAAGACAAGCAAACAAAATATCTGGACCTGGCTCACGAGGTGACCGAGATGTGGGGTGGTCTGCCGACCGAAATTATTCCTGTAGTCGTCTCTGCAAACGGGCTAATCCCAGTCAGCCTCTCGGGTCATCTGAGGCGGCTGGGACTACGTGGCGGACCGCTCCAGGTTCAAATGCAGAAGGCGGTGCTCCTCGATACCGCCCGCATCGTCCGCCGGTTTCTTTCCCTTTCCCCCTAACCCTCGGCCGTTTGGTCTCCCCTGCCGAGGGCCTCCATCTGGTTGGGCTTTTATTTATTTATGTACTTTTATATTTATTTTATGTTATTGATATTTATGTATATTTATCTTTTCATTTTCATTTATAATTATATATTTATAGAACCCAACCAGATGAGAAAACTATATAGATACCCCACAATATTATAATTAATAATAATAATAATAAGGCGTAGGGAAGTGACGACCCCATCGCCCGCTGACGTAACAGTTATGTGACAAAACTGCGACGTCGGCGCAGTCAGTCAGCATCCTGCCAAGAGGTGTGAGCGCCGTGCCTAGGCAAAATTGTAGATGCAAAGGTCCCTTTGTGCATATGACCCAACCACTAAACGGTGCCGGGCTTGGGCGTCTCCCGTTATTTGCGCCCATAAAATGGATGATGGTACAGAAAGGAACGCGCATAGGACCGCTGCCTGGGGGTCGCCGGGGCGCGTCTGGAGCTGGCGCTGGACCAGAACGACGATGAAATAGTCTCCCACGAACTAGAGCAAATGAGGAGTATATTGGAAGAGGCGATTTTGGAAACGCGCAGCACCCCTCTTGAAAATCGACCGCGACTTCCCCGCATACCCCTAAGCAAGCGAAATCGGGCTGTCGTGAGGGCTCTTAACCCAATGCTGGTGACCTATTTGGAAGCAAGTAGGGACCTTTGCGAGACAGACTCGATTCTCTTTGGCGCCGCAGTGGCAGTTTTCCGTATTATTGGCGCCAAACTTCCCATGACTGGAGGCGCTACTCCACAAAGTAGCGCCATCCCAGCCTGGAGAAAAAGAATCGAGGACCGTATCGCAAAGGCAAGGGCCCTTATCGGCAGACTGACAAGCTTCAGGTCGGGCAATAATAGACCGAGGATTGTGCGCACCGTTAGGATGGCGTTTGCTGGGACAAATATCAGTTTGTCCCAGCCGGATATCACGCAGAAACTAACGGAGCGCATAGACGACCTGAAGCAAAAGATCGCTGCTTGGGGGAAGCGGATGCGACGATTTTCCGAGGGGTTAAGGCGGTTCAACCAGAATCGTCTCTTCCAGAGTGATCAGAAGAAGCTCTATAAATCATTGGAGCGACCAAAGGTATGTGGAGCGGGCCCAGGACAGGATCAGGCTGACATTATCGCATTCTGGCGTAGCCTGTGGTAAGAGCCCGTAAACCACAGCGAGGGCCCTTGGATGGAAGTTGTGGCGAGCCAGGGTGCGAGTGATACGCCTATGGACCCCATCACCATAACGCCAGAAGACGTGGCTGAGGCGGTCCGTAGGGCCCCGAACTGGAAAAGTCCGGGGCTCGACGGGCTGCATCATTACCGGCTGAAGGGGTTCATAGTGTGTCACGCTGTGCTCGCCCGACAGTTTCAAGAGGCTCTCCACCAGAAGTCACTCCCGAGCCTCTTCACTACTGGGATCACTCACTTGGTTCCTAAAGATCAGGATACCACAGACCCGAGCAAATACCGCCCCATCACGTGTCTACCCACCATATATAAGACACTGACATCCATTTTGAGCGCGAGAATCACTCGTCACCTGGAGCTAAACCAGGTGATGTCACGCGCTCAAAATGGATGTCGGGGCGGTGGTCGTGGAACTAAGGAACCACTCCTCATTGACGCGGTCATAGGCAAAGTGGTGAAACGCAACCGTCGGAACGTCTCTGCCGCCTGGATAGACTACAGACAGGCGTTCGACTCGGTGCCCCATACATGGCTAAAGAGGGTCCTCAAGCTGTACAAGATTGACTGTACAGTTAGAGACTTCCTCGAACAGTGTATGGGGCAGTGGAGTACGATCCTTTGTCATCTGGGCGAGCGGATAACGGCTGCGGAGAACCACATAAGGATAAGAAGGGGTATATTCCAGGGCGATTGTCTGAGTCCAATCTGGTTCTGCCTCTCTCTTAACCCTCTCAGTACCTTACTGGAGGGCTCCGGGAGGGGATTTCAGCTACGGAAAGGAGGGACAAAAGTGACCCACCTTTTCTATATGGATGACCTCAAGTTATTCGCCTCCAGTCGCTCCCATCTTATGGAACTGCTAAACATCACTTGTGAATTTAGCAGTTCCATTGGAATGGAGCTGGGGACGGATAAGTGTGCGGTCCTCCATGTTGAAAGGGGAAGGGTTGCTAACTCTGAGGGCATAGACTTGTCTATGCCCGTCAACTTAAGGACCCTCTCCGAGGCTGAAACATACCGATACCTGGGTATGTCACAGAATATCGGTATCGATGAGGCTGGTATGAAACAGTCAGTTTGCGACGTGTTTTATGCACGCTTGACCAAAGTGCTTAACAGCCTTTTGTCCGGTGTGAATAAGTCACGCGCATATAACTGCTGGTTCATGCCTGTCCTCATGTATACCTTTGGCATACTCAGGTGGACTCAGACTGAGCTTAACGCCCTGGATAGAAAAGTCCGCACTACCATGACGTCCCATAGGATGCATCATCCGAGATCGTCGGTAATGAGGCTGTACTTGCCGCGAAAGTTTGGTGGGCGTGGTTTTCTGAGCGCGCTCACCATGCATAATCGCGAAGTGTGCAGTCTCCGTCAATACTTCTTGGCGAGATCGGATGATCCATTCTATAATGACGTCATTTCTAGTGATAAAGGGCTTACCCCTCTATCCTTAGCCAACGAGCAATGGCAGGACCCAGCAGTGCTTAGCATTTCCGACCGGGAGACCGTATGGAAGGAGAAGGAGCTCCACGGGAGGTACTACAAGGCTCTACATGAGCCCTTCGTAGATACAGTCGCCTCCCTCAACTGGCTACGTTTCGGTGACCTCTTCGGGGGAAACCGAGGGTTTTGTCTGTGCAATACAGGGTCAGGTTATTAAGACCAACAACTATCGGAGATACATCCTAAAGGATGGCACCGTCGACGTCTGTCGAGCGTGTCGCCATCCCGGGGGAGTCACTCAGGCATGTCATCTCCGGTTGTTCGGCGCTTTTTAACTCTGAGTACTTGCACAGGCACAACCTAGTAGCCAGAATTCTACACCAGGAGCTCGCTCTGAAATACGGTCTCGTGGACCGGAAATTGCCGTATTACAAGTACTTGCCGGAAGCCGTGCTCGAAAATGACCGCGCCAGGCTCTATTGGGGCCGGGCCATCATCACAGACAGGACTATTCTTGCGAATAAGCCTGATATTGTGTTGATGGACCGAGCACAGTCAAGGATATTTTTGGTCGATATTACCATCCCGTATGACGAGAACCTCGTGAGAGCCGAAACAGATAAGCAATCAAAATATCTGGACCTGGCTCACGAGGTGACCGACATGTGGGGTGGTCTGCCGGCCGAAATTATTCCTGTAGTCGTCTCTGCGAATGGGCTAATCCCAGTTAGCCTCTCTGGTCATCTGAGGCGACTGGGACTCAGTGACGGACCGCTCCGGGCTCAAATGCAGAAGGCGGTGCTCCTTGATACTGCCCGCATCGTCCGCCGGTTTCCTTCCCTTTCTCCCTAACCCTTGGCAGTTTGGTCTCCCCTGCCGAGGGCTTCCATCTGGTTGGGCTTTTATTTATTTATGTATTTTTGTATTTATTTTATTTTATTGATATTTATGTATATTTATCTTTTCATTTTCGTTTATAATTATATATTTATACATTCCAACCAGATGAGAAAACTATATAGATACACGCATAACAATAATAATAAAAAAGATTAAAGATAAATTAAGCTTTATTATACTAATAATAAAGCTTTATTTATCTTTATTTTATAATAATAATAATAATAATAAGTCGCTCCCAAGCCTCTTCACTACTGGGATCACTCATTTAGTTCCTAAAGACCAGGGTACCACAGACCCGAGCAAATACCGCCCCATCACGTGTCTACCGACCATATACAAGACACTAACATCCATTTTGAGCGCGAGAATCACTTGTCACCTGGACTCAAATCAGGTGATGTCGCGCGCTCAAAATGGATGTCGGGGCGGTGGTCGTGGAACCAAGGAACCACTCCTCATTGACGCGGTCATTGGCAAAGTGGTGAAACGCAACCGTCGGAACTTCTCCGCCGCCTGGATAGACTACAGAAAGGCATTCGACTCGGTGCCCCATACATGGCTAAAGAGAGTCCTCGAGCTGTACAAGATAGACTGTACAGTTAGAGACTTCCTCGAGCAGTGTATGGGGCAGTGGAGTACGATCCTTTGTCATCTAGGCGAACGGATGATGGCTGCGGAGAACCACATAAGGATAAGAAGGGGTATCTTCCAGGGCGATTGTCTGAGTCCAATCTGGTTCTGCCTCTCTCTGAACCCTCTCAGTACCTTACTGGAGGGCTCCGGGAGGGGATTTCAGCTACGGAAAGGAGGGACAAAAGTGACCCACCTTTTCTATATGGATGACCTCAAGTTATTCGCCTCCAGTCGCTCCCATCTTATGGAATTGCTAAACATCACTTGTGAATTTAGCAATTCCATTGGAATGGAGCTGGGGACGGATAAGTGTGCGGTCCTCCATGTTGAAAGGGGAAGGGTTGCTAACTCTGAGGGCGTAGACTTATCTATGCCCGTCAACTTAAGGACCCTTTCCGAGGCTGAAACATACCGATACCTGGGTATGTCACAAAACATCGGTATCGATGAGACTGGTATGAAACAGTCAGTTTGCGACGTGTTTTATGCACGCTTGACCAAAGGCACTAATGATATAAATTGCACATGAAAAACTAAAATTTTTATTTTTTATTTAAAAGGGCCACCACATTTTTGGGGGGGGAGGGAAGACCGGGGTTTCCCCCTCCCCCTTTTTTTTTTTTTTTTTTGGCAAAAATGAAAACGGGTTTGGTGTTTTTTTTTTATTTTATTGATATAGAACAAAATTTTTAATTGCTTAACAGCCTTTTGTCCGGTGTGAATAAGGCACACGTATATAACGGCTGGGTCATGCCTGTCCTCATGTATACCTTTGGCATACTCAGGTGGACTCAGACTGAACTTAACGCCCTGGATAGAAAAGTCCGCACTACCATGACGTCCCATAGGATGCATCATCCGAGATCGTCGGTAATGAGGCTGTACTTGCCGCGGAAGCATGGTGGTCGTGGCTTCTTGAGCGCGCTCACCATGCATAATCGCGAAGTGTGCAGCCTCCGTGATTACTTCCTGGCGAGATCGGATGATCCATTCTATAAGGACGTCATTTCTTGTGATAAAGGACTTACCCCTCTATCCTTAGCCAACGAGCAATGGCAAGACCCGGCAGTGCAGAGCATTTCCGACCGGGAGACCGTATGGAAGGAGAAGGAGCTCCACGGGAGGTTCTACAAGGCTCTACATGAGCCTTTCGTAGACACAGTAGCCTCCCTCCACTGGCTACGCTTTGGTGATCTCTTCGGGGAAACCGAGGGTTTTGTCTGTGCAATACAGGATCAGGTTATTAAGACCAACAACTATCGGAGATACATCCTAAAGGATGGCACCGTCGACGTCTGTCGAGCGTGTCGCCATCCCGGGGAGTCACTCAGGCATGTCATCTCCGGTTGTTCGGCGCTTTCTAACTCTGAGTACTTGCACAGGCACAACCTAGTAGCCAGAATTCTACACCAGGAGCTCGCTCTGAAATACGGTCTCGTGGACCGGAAATTGCCGTATTACAAGTACTTGCCGGAAGCCGTGCTCGAAAATGACCGCGCCAGGCTCTATTGGGACCGGGCCATCATCACAGACAGGACTATTCTTGCGAATAAGCCTGATATTGTGTTGATGGACCGAGCACAGTCAAGGATATTTTTGGTCGATATTACCATCCCGTATGACGAGAACCTCGTGAGAGCCGAAACAGATAAGCAATCAAAATATCTGGACCTGGCTCACGAGGTGACCGACATGTGGGGTGGTCTGCCGGCCGAAATTATTCCTGTAGTCGTCTCTGCGAATGGGCTAATCCCAGTTAGCCTCTCTGGTCATCTGAGGCGACTGGGACTCAGTGACGGACCGCTCCGGGCTCAAATGCAGAAGGCGGTGCTCCTTGATACCGCCCGCATCGTCCGCCGGTTTCCTTCCCTTTCTCCCTAACCCTCGGCAGTTTGGTCTCCCCTGCCGAGGGCTTCCATCTGGTTGGGCTTTTATTTATTTATGTATTTTTGTATTTATTTTATTTTATTGATATTTATGTATATTTATCTTTTCATTTTCGTTTATAATTATATATTTATACATTCCAACCAGATGAGAAAACTATATAGATACACACATAACAATAATAATAAAAAAGATTAAAGATAAATTAAGCTTTATTATACTAATAATAAAGCTTTATTTATCTTTATTTTATAATAATAATAATAATAATAATAAAATGGCGTAGGGAATTGACGACCCCATCGCCCGCTGACGTAACAGTTAAGTGACAAAACTGCTACGTCAACGCAGTCAGTCAGCGCCTTGCGAGAGGTGTGAGCGCCGTGCCTCGGCAGAATTCAGGGTGCAAAGGCCCGTTTGTGCTTATGGCCGTCCACGATACGGTGCCGGGCCTGGGCGTCTCCCGTTAATGGACGCCCATATTATGGATGATGGAGAAAAAGATAGTGCGCAAAGGGCCGCTGCCTGGAGGTCGCCAGGGCGCGTCTGGAGCTGGCGCTGGACGCGACAGCATGCGGGCCGCCAGCCGAGCGCGGGGTGTTGCAAGACCCCCTAGCAGCCCCCGCATCCATCATCCCCACCAGAAGGCTTGGTGTCGGCTGGGTCTTCTCGGACTCAGCAAGCGGCACCCGCCGCTGGTGGAGCACGTCGCATGCGTTGGTCTAAATCAATGAATGAAAACGCACTGCGGGCGTATTTTAGGGCAAAAGGGGAAGAAACTGGATGTTTGGCGTATCGGGCTCGGATGCATCGCTTTTTTGCAGAGCTGGAGCCATCTCTATCCGTCACTGAGCAAAACCTGGCAGACCGAGTTAGGTACATCCTGCGCTCCAACATATTTGGTGACGCCGAACTCGAGCGACTACGACGTGAGGCTATTCCTTCATCGAATGGAAATGCTACGGCTGGGAATGCGGCGCCACTAGATGCGCAACAAACTGCATATGTGGATGCTGCCGTCAACATTCCATTTGTGGCTAATTCAGACGATGATGGAATAGTCTCCCACGAACTAGAGAAAATGAGGAGCATATTGGAAGAGTCGATGCTGGAAACGCGCAGCATGCCTCTGGAAAATCGACCGCGACTTCCCCGCATACCCCTTAGCAAGCGAAATCGGGCTGTCGTGCGGGCTCTTAACCCAATGCTGGTGACCTATTTGGAAGCCAGCCGGGACCTTTGCGAGACGGATTCAATTCTTTTTGGCGCCGCACTGGCAGTATGCCGTATTATTGGCGCCAAACTTCCCGTGGCTGGACGTGCTACTCAAAAAAGTAGCGCCATCCCAGCCTGGAGAAAAAGAATTGAGGACCGTATCGCAAAGGCAAGGGCCCTTATCGGCAGACTGACAAGCTTCAGGTCGGGTAATAATAGACCGAGGATTATGCGCACCGTTAGGATGGCGTTTGCTGGGACAAATATCAATTTATTCCAGCCGGATATCACGCAAAAACTAACGGAGCGCATAGATGACCTGAAGCAAAAAATCGCTGCTTGGGGGAAGCGGATTCGACGATTTAGCGAGAGGTCAAGGCGGTTCAACCAGAATCGTCTCTTCCAGAGTGATCAGAAGAGGCTCTATAAAACATTGGAGCGACCAGAGGTATGTGGAGCGGGCCCAGGACCGGATCAGGCTGACACTGTCGCATTTTGGCGTGGCCTGTGGTTAGAGCCCGTAAACCACAACGAGGGCCCTTGGATGGAAGTTGTGACGAGCCAGAGTGCAAGTGTTACGCCTATGGACCCCGTCACCATAACGCCTGAAGACGTGGCTGAGGCGGTCCGTAGGGCCCCGAACTGGAAAAGTCCGGGGCTCGACGGGCTGCATCATTACTGGCTGAAGGGGTTCGTAGTGTGTCACGCTGTGCTCGCCCGACAGTTTCAAGAGACTCTCGATCAGAAGTCGCTCCCGAGCCTCTTCACTACTGGGATCACTCATTTGGTTCCTAAAGATCAGGATACCACAGACCCGAGCAAATACCGCCCCATCACGTGTCTACCCACCATATATAAGACACTGACATCCATTTTGAGCGCGAGAATCACTCGTCACCTGGAGCTAAATCAGGTGATGTCACGCGCTCAAAATGGATGCCGGGGCGGTGGTCGTGGAACCAAGGAACCACTCCTCATTGACGCGGTCATTGGCAAAGTGGTGAAACGCAACCGTCGGAATTTCTCCGCCGCCTGGATAGACTACAGAAAGGCATTCGACTCGGTGCCCCATACATGGCTAAAGAGAGTCCTCCAGCTGTACAAAATTGACTGTTCAGTTAGAGACTTCCTCGAGCAGTGTATGGGGCAATGGAGTACGATCCTTTGCTATCTGGGCGAGCGGATGATGGCTGCGGAGAACCACATAAGGATAAGAAGGGGTATCTTCCAGGGCGATTGTCTGAGTCCAATCTGGTTTTGCCTCTCCCGGAACCCTCTCAGTACTTTACTGGAGGGCTCCGGGAGGGGATTTCAGCTTCGGAAAAGAGGTGCAAAAGTAACCCACTTTTTCTATATGGATGACCTCAAGTTATTCGCCTCCAGTCGCTCCCATCTTATGGAATTGCTAAACATCACTTGTGAATTTAGCAATTCTATTGGAATGGAGCTGGGAACGGATAAGTGTGCGGTCCTCCATGTTGAAAGGGGGAGGGTTGCTAACTCTGAGGGCATAGACTTATCTATGCCCGTCAACTTAAGGACCCTTTCCGAGGCTGAAACATACCGATACCTGGGTATGTCACAGAACATCGGTATCGATGAGGCTGGTATGAAACAGTCAGTTTGCGACGTGTTTTATGCACGCTTGACCAAAGTGCTTAACAGCCTTTTGTCCGGTGTGAATAAGACACACGCATATAACGGCTGGGTCATGCCTGTCCTCATGTATACCTTTGGCATACTCAGGTGGACTCAGACTGAACTTAACGCCCTGGATAGAAAAGTCCGCACTACCATGACGTCCCACAGGATGCATCATCCGAGATCGTCGGTAATGAGGCTGTACTTGCCGCGGAAGCATGGTGGTCGTGGCTTCTCGAGCGCGCTCACCATGCATAATCGCGAAGTGTGCAGCCTCCGTGATTACTTCCTGGCGAGATCGGATGATCCATTCTATAAGGACGTCATTTCTTGTGATAAAGGACTTACCCCTCTATCCTTAGCCAACGAGCAATGGCAAGACCCGGCAGTGCAGAGCATTTCCGACCGGGAGACCGTATGGAAGGAGAAGGAGCTCCACGGGAGGTTCTACAAGGCTCTACATGAGCCTTTCGTAGACACAGTAGCCTCCCTCCACTAGCTACGCTTTGGTGATCTCTTCGGGGAAACCGAGGGTTTTGTCTGTGCAATACAGGATCAGGTTATTAAGACCAACAACTATCGGAGATACATCCTAAAGGATGGCACCGTCGACATCTGTCGAGCTTGTCGCCATCCCGGTGAGTCACTTAGGCATGTTATCTCCGGTTGTTCGGCGCTTTCTAACTCTGAGTACTTGCACAGGCACAACCTAGTAGCCAGAATTCTACACCAGGAGCTCGCTCTGAAATACGGTCTCGTGGATCGGAAATTGCCGTATTACAAGTACTTGCCGGAAGCCGTGCTCGAAAATGATCGCGCCAGGCTCTATTGGGACCGGGCCGTCATCACGGACAGGACTATTCTTGCGAATAAGCCTGATATTGTGCTGATGGACCGGGCACAGTCAAGGATATTTTTGGTCGACATTACCATTCCGTATGACGAGAACCTCGTGAAAGCCGAAACAGACAAGCAAACAAAATATCTGGACCTGGCTCACGAGGTGACCGACATGTGGGGTGGTCTGCCGACCGAAATTATTCCTGTAGTCGTCTCTGCAAACGGGCTAATCCCAGTCAGCCTCTCGGGTCATCTGAGGCGGCTGGGACTACGTGGCGGACCGCTCCAGGTTCAAATGCAGAAGGCGGTGCTCCTCGATACCGCCCGCATCGTCCGCCGGTTTCTTTCCCTTTCCCCCTAACCCTCGGCCGTTTGGTCTCCCCTGCCGAGGGCCTCCATCTGGTTGGGCTTTTATTTATTTATGTACTTTTATATTTATTTTATGTTATTGATATTTATGTATATTTGTCTTTTCATTTTCATTTATAATTATATATTTATAGCACCCAACCAGATGAGAAAACTATATAGATACCCCAAAATAATAATATAAACCCCCTAAACAACCACACATCCTGATTGACCATCTAATCACGTGGGGGGGCGGACACACGAATGAGAAATTACTGGCGTGGCTAACGTGGCTCTGGAAACCCATAAATAAAATGGCGACTCGTTCTAAAATAAACGTATAGAGCCGCTACCTGGGGGGCGATCGCCGGGGTGCACCTGGAGCTGACGCTGGGTGTCACAGCATGCGATCCGTCAGCGGTGAGGAGTTGAACAGGCGGGCTCCCACCCACAAAGATACTACAGCCGAACTCATTGACGATGGTGACAGACTGACGGACAGGACAGACACCCCTGTAGAACCATATAGTCCAAGCACAGTATCATACACACCCTCGAGGCCAACATCACCATCCATACCATCGTCACCAACACCTCCATCACCCCCTATTACTAGTTTAAATACAGTTCCACCTACTCCGACCTTGAGTGCTGCGCGGGAGGTATCTACCTTCTTACCCGCGTCCACCAAGGCTGGAAAAGCAAGAGTTCGAATGAAATGGAGTAAAGAATTAAATCTATTTATCATGAGAACTTATCTATACATTACTAAATTAGGGACCGATATGACCACGTACAGACAACAATTACACGCACATTTCACTCGACAATATCCAGAAATTACTGTTTCAGAACAAAGAATCTCAGACCAAAGAAGAACCATAGTTAGGAATAAACTTCTATCCCAAGAAGTTATAGATCAATTAAAAGAAGAAGTACGAACACAATTAATTCAAGAAGAAGCGACTAACAGCTATGTAGAAACTAATATCACACAAAACACAAGTGAAAATGATCACCAAGTACAACCACAATTGCTCAGTCAATCACAACTCATTTATACACAATCTCAGCCATGCGACCATTCACAAATATCACACACATCCACACAAACCGAAACCGTAATCCTAACGCTAGAAAATGATATTGAGACCATAGTTGTCCCAGATCAACACTTAACAACAGATACATATATCCAAGAAATCAATGAGAAATTTAGAACAACAATAACGTTATACTCTGGGATGGATCCCGCAGCGCGACCAAGATTACCTACACTTAAGTACACACCTAACCTGTTTCGACTGGTTAATTTATTTAATGAAACTATACTCACACAATATATATCTGATGACACACAACTTATAGACATACATTTACTTATATACTGCACAGCGATAGTAATATCCGAAGAATTGAACTTTAAAATCACAGACAATGCAAGAACTACAAGAACAAGACAAAATACAGAACCAGCATGGCAACAGAGACTAGAAAAAGACATTGAAAAATTAAGAGCAAACATAGGTAGACTCACTCAGTATATTAACGGTTGTAGATCTAATAAACTAGTCAAAAAAGTAGAGGTCATATTTAGGAATAATGCTACGCATACCAGACACGAAAAAAGTAACACAAGACCTGAAGAATTTTTAGACACGTTAAAACAAAAATTAGCACTTAAAGTTCATAGGCTCAAAAGGTATAAAAAAGCACAACAGCGCAAAAAAGATAACGTCAGATTTGCCACAAACGAAAAATTGTTTTATAGAAACTTACACAAACCACAAACAGACATAATCGATGAACGTAACACACATACACCTAACCTACCTACAAAAGAACAACTAGAAGCATATTGGGCGAGTGTTTGGGAAGAGCAAAAACAACATAACGACAAAGCATCTTGGATAATTGAAGAGGAAGCAAAATGGAGAGATATTGACGAAATGGAATTCGAAGAGGTAACAGAGTTAGACATAACACTCATTACAGCTAGGTTACATAATTGGAAATCACCTGGTATAGACAAAATTCATAATTTTTGGTACAAAAAAATTAACGTCTCTACACAAACCTTTAGCAAGAAATTTAACAGATATAATAACAGGACAACAGAACACTCCCGAATTTATTGCAACAGGAATTACTTATATGCTACCTAAAACAAAAAATTCACCTCAGCCTTCCCAATACCGACCAATTATATGCCTACCCACAATTTACAAAATATTGACATCTGCTATCACAAAGAAAATTCAGTCGCACATTGAACACCACAATATAATAGCAGAAGAACAGAAGGGATGTAGACAGGGCCACATGGGATGTAAAGAACAGCTGATAATTGATTCCACTATTCATAAACACGCCACCTCTAAAAATAGAAATTTACATTGCACCTATATTGATTATAAAAAAGCGTTTGACAGTGTTCCTCATTCATGGTTATTAAAAATATTAGAAATTTATAGAATAAATCCGAAAATAATCGATTTCTTACGCCGAATAATGTTACAATGGAAAACAACACTACAAATAAATTGTAACCAAAATACTGTCACCACGCGACAAATCTCAATCACAAAAGGCATCTACCAAGGTGACTCCCTGAGCCCACTGTGGTTCTGTCTCGCCCTAAACCCTCTGTCTCATTTGCTGCAGAGCTGCGGGGCCGGATATTGCCTCAAACTTAATACAGACGAAACAACAATATCGCATCTTATATACATGGACGACATCAAATTATATGCAAAAACAGACAAGGATATGAAGAAATTAATAGATATAACAACAGAATTCAGTAGCGATATTAATATGCATTTTGGTTTAGATAAATGTAAAACACTTCACATTGTAAGAGGCAAAGTAAGGCCCGGCGACTATGTGGTAAATGAAACGGAGGCTATTACAGCAATGGAATCGACTGACTTATACAAATATTTAGGGTATGTCCAACTTAAAAGTCTTGACCACGTACGAATTAAAAATTCTCTCTCTACGGAATACAAGAGAAGACTTAACGCCGTTTGTAAAACTCAACTTTCAAGTAAACATCTCATCAAAGCCATTAACACCTATGCCATCCCCATATTAACGTACTCATTCGGAGTTATAAAATGGTCCAAAACTGATGCAGAACAATTAGAGCGAACTACACGTACAACACTCACGAAACACAATAATCTACACCCTAAATCCGCCATAGAGAGACTAACAATAAAACGAGAACATGGGAGAGGCCTAATGGATATCCAGCACCTATGGCGGAAACAAGTTAGTCGATTAAAATCATTCTTCTATACAAAATCCCATACTAGCAATATTCATAAAGCCATCGTAACGAATGATATTAACTACACTCCACTTAACTTAAGCAATCAGATTGAATCCCAAAACACTACTAGTGATAACCCACAGACACACAAAATTGACGAATGGAAGAAGAAAGTTCTCCACGGTCGGCACCCTCATGACTTAGAGCAATCCCACATAAATAAGTTAGCTTCAAATAAGTGGCTGAAAATAGGCAACTTATTTCCAGAAACAGAAGGATTTATAATAGCTATTCAAGACCAGATCATAAGCACAAAAAATTACAGAAAATATATAATCAAAGATCCTACAGTAAATAATGACAAATGTCGCAAATGCCACACACATCCAGAAACCATTCAACACATCACAGGCGCATGCACAACTCTCACACAGACTGACTACACTCACAGACACAATCAGGTGGCCAATGTCATTCATCAAAAACTAGCACTCAAACACGCACTCATTCCAGATGCCAACACTCCGTACTACAATTATACACCAAAACATACTCTAGAAAACACCACACATAAACTTTTTTACGACCGCGGCATTCTCACCGATAGAACAATCCACTATAACCGACCAGATATAATTCTACAAGATAAAATAAATAATATTATTTACCTGATAGACATTACAGTCCCCAACACACACAACTTGCAAAAGACGATAACTGAAAAAATTTGTAAGTACGCAGAACTTAAAGATGAAGTGACTAGAATCTGGCAACAAGAAAAAGTATATGTGGTCCCTATAGTCATCTCCACAACAGGTGTCACCCCAAATCATCTCCTCCGTAGCTTAAAATTATTACAACTAAAAGAAACTCTATATATTACACTTCAAAAAGCAGCTATATTAAATACATGCAGAATAGTTAGGGGAAATTCATGCAGCTAGAAGAAAACGAAATAGGACCTCATCAAATCACACGCTGCATTTGCTTTGGCTTCGGCCCGTAAATGTAGTTGAAATCCAGCCTAGAGCTGAGAAGTGAAAACACTTACCGTAAATAATAATAATAATAATAATAAGGCGTAGGGAAGTGACGACCCCATCGCCCGCTGACGTAACAGTTATGTGACAAAACTGCGACGTCGGCGCAGTCAGTCAGCATCCTGCCAAGAGGTGTGAGCGCCGTGCCTAGGCAAAATTGTAGATGCAAAAGTTCGTTTGTGCATATGACCCAACCACTAAACGGTGCCGGGCTTGGGCGTCTCCCGTTATTTGGCGCCCATAAAATGGATGATGGTACAGAAAGGAACGCGCATAGGACCGCTGCCGGGGGGTCGCCGGGGCGCGTCTGGAGCTGGCGCTGGACCAGAACGACGATGAAATAGTCTCCCACGAACTAGAGCAAATGAGGAGTATATTGGAAGAGGCGATTTTGGAAACGCGCAGCACCCCTCTTGAAAATCGACCGCGGCTTCCCCGCATACCCCTAAGCAAGCGAAATCGGGCTGTCGTGAGGGCTCTTAACCCAATGCTGGTGACCTATTTGGAAGCCAGCCGGGACCTTTGCTAGACGGACTCGATTCTCTTTGGCGAACAGATAAGCAATCAAAATATCTGGACCTGGCTCACGAGGTGACGGACATGGGGGTGGTCTGCCGACCGAAATTATTCCTGTAGTCGTCTCTGCAAACGGGCTAATCCCAGTCAGCCTCTCGGGTCATCTGAGGCGGCTGGGACTACGTGGCGGACCGCTCCAGGTTCAAATGCAGAAGGCGGTGCTCCTCGATACCGCCCGCATCGTCCGCCGGTTTCTTTCCCTTTCCCCCTAACCCTCGGCCGTTTGGTCTCCCCTGCCGAGGGCCTCCATCTGGTTGGGCTTTTACGACCGCGGCTTGGGTTATTTGGAGCTCATAAAATGGATGATGGAAGAAACACAAAAAGGAACGCGCATAGGGCCGCTGCCTGGGGGTCGCCGGGGCGCGTCTGGAGCTGGCGCTGGACGCGGCAGCATGCGGACCGCCAGCCAACCGCGAGGATCTGCACGCTCACCTTGCAGCCCCTCGCATCCATCATCCCCACCAGAAGGTTTGGTGTCGGCTGGGTCTTCTCGGACCCAGCAAGCGGCACCCGCCGCTGGTGGAGCACGTCGCATGCGTTGGACAAAATCCATGAACGAAAACGCATTGCGGGCGTACTATGGGGCGAAAGGGGAAGAAACTGTGGGAATAGCGTATAGGTCTCGAATGCAATGTTTTTTGCTGAGCTGGAGCCGTCTATCCCCGTCACGGAACAAAACCTGGCAGACCGAGTTCGGTACATCATGCGCTCGAAAATATTTGATGATGCCGAACTCGAACGACTACGACGTGAGGCTATTCCGTCGTCGAATGAATCGGCTACGGCTGGAGATGCAGCTCCACATTCGACAGACCAGCATCCACACGTGGATGCCGCCATGGATCTTCCAGTTGTGGTTGATTCGAACGACGATGAAATAGTCTCCCACGAACTAGAGCAAATGAGGAGTATATTGGAAGAGGCGATTTTGGAAACGCGCAGCACCTCTCTCGAAAATCGACCGCGACTTCCCCGCATACCCTTAAGCAAGCGAAATCGGGCTGTCGTGAGGGCTCTTAACCCAATGCTGGTGACCTATTTGGAAGCCAGCCGGGACCTTTGCTAGACGGACTCGATTCTCTTTGGCGCCGCAGTGGCAGTTTGCCGTATTATTGGCGCCAAACTTCCCATGGCTGGACGCGCTACTACACAAAGTAACGCCATCCCAGCCTGGAGGAAAGAATCGAGGACCGTATCGCAAAGGCAAGGGCCCTTATCGGCAGACAGACAAGCTTCAGGTCGGGTAATAATAGACCGAGGATTATGCGCACCGTTAGGATAGCGTTTGCTGGGACAAATATCAGTTTGTCCCAGCCGGATATCACGCAGAAACTAACGGAGCGCATAGACGACCTGAAGCAAAAGATCGCTGCTTGGGGGAAGCGGATGCGACGATTTTCCGAGGGGTTAAGGCGGGTCAACCCGAATCGTCTCTTCCAGAGTGATCAGAAGAAGCTCTATAAATCATTGGAGCGACCAAAGGTATGTGGAGCGGGCCAAGGACCGGATCAGGCTGACATTATCGCATTCTGGCGTGGCCTGTGGTCAGAGCCCGTAAACCACAGTGAGGGCCCTTGGATGGAAGTTGTGGCGAGCCAGAGTGCGAGTGTTACGCCTATGGACCTCATCACCATAACGCCAGAAGACGTGGCTGAGGCGGTCCGTAGGGCCCCGAACTGGAAAAGTCCGGGGCTCGACGGGCTGCATCATTACTGGCTGAAGGGGTTCGTAGTGTGTCACGCTGTGCTCGCCCGACAGTTTCAAGAGGCTCTCGAACAGAAGTCACTCCCGAGCCTCTTCACTACTGGGATCACTCACTTGGTTCCTAAAGATCAAGATACCACAGACCCGAGCAAATACCGCCCCATCACGTGTCTACCCACCATATATAAGACACTGACATCCATTTTGAGCGCGAGAATCACTCGTCACCTGGAGCTAAACCAGGTGATGTCACGCGCTCAAAATGGATGTCGGGGCGGTGGTCGTGGAACTAAGGAACCACTCCTCATTGACGCGGTCATAGGCAAAGTGGTGAAACGCAACCGTCGGAACTTCTCTGCCGCCTGGATAGACTACAGAAAGGCGTTCGACTCGGTGCCCCATACATGGCTAAAGAAGGTCCTCGAGCTGTAAAAGATTGACTGTACAGTTAGGGACTTCCTCGAGCAGTGTATGGGGCAGTGGAGTACGATCCTTTGTCATCTGGGCGAGCGGATGACGGCTGCGGAGAACCACATAAGGATAAGAAGGGGTATATTCCAGGGCGATTGTCTGAGTCTAATCTGGTTCTGCCTCTCTCTTAACCCTCTCAGTACCTTACTGGAGGGCTCCGGGAGGGGATTTCAGCTAAGGAGAGGAGGGACAAAAGTGACCCACCTTTTCTATATGGATGACCTCAAGTTATTCGCCTCCAGTCGCTCCCATCTTATGGAACTGCTAAACATCACTTATGAATTTAGCAGTTCCATTGGAATGGAGCTGGGGACGGATAAGTGTGCGGTCCTCCATGTTGAAAGGGGAAGGGTTGCTAACTCTGAGGGCATAGACTTGTCTATGCCCGTCAACTTAAGGACCCTTTCCGAGGCTGAAACATACCGATACCTGGGTATGTCACAGAACATCGGTATCGATGAGGCTGGTATGAAACAGTCAGTTTGCGACGTGTTTTATGCACACTTGACCAAAGTGCTTAACAGCCTTTTGTCCGGTGTGAATAAGACACAAGCATATAACAGCTGGGTCATGCCTGTCCTCATGTATACCTTTGACATACTAAGGTGGACTCAGACTGAGCTTAACGCCCTGAATAGAAAAGTCCGCACTACCATGACGTCCCATAGGATGCATCATCCGAGATCGTCGGTAATGAGGCTGTACTTGCCGCGAAAGTATGGTGGGCGTGGCTTTCTGAGCGCGCTCACCATGCATAATCGCGAAGTGTGCAGTCTCCGTCAGTACTTCTTGGCGAGATCGGATGATCCATTCTATAATGACGATATATCTAGTGATAAAGGGCTTACCCCTCTATCCTTAGCCAACGAGCAATGGCAGGACCCAGTAGTGCTTAGCAATTCCGACCGGGAGACCGTATGGAAGGAGAAGGAGCTCCACGGGAGGTACTACAAGGCTCTACATGAGCCCTTCGTAGATACAGTCGCCTCCCTCAACTGGCTACGTTTCGGTGACCTCTTCGGGGGAAACCGAGGGTTTTGTCTGTGCAATACAGGGTCAGGTTATTAAGACCAACAACTATCGGAGATACATCCTAAAGGATGGCACCGTCGACGTCTGTCGAGCGTGTCGCCATCCCGGGGAGTCACTCAGGCATGTCATCTCCGGTTGTTCGGCGCTTTCTAACTCTGAGTACTTGCACAGGCACAACCTAGTAGCCAGAATTCTACACCAGGAGCTCGCGCTGAAATACGGTCTCGTGGACCAGAAATTGCCGTATTACAAGTACTTGCCGGAAGCCGTGCTCGAAAATGACCGCGCCAGACTCTGCTGGGACCGGGCCATCATCACAGACAGGACTATTCTTGCGAATAAGCCTGATATTGTGCTGATGGACCGGGCACAGTCAAGGATATTTTTGGTCGATATTACCATCCCGTATGACGAGAACCTCGTGAGAGCCGAAACAGATAAGCAATCAAAATATCTGGACCTGGCTCACGAGGTGACGGACATGTGGGGTGGTCTGCCGGCCGAAATTATTCCTTTAGTCGTCTCTGCGAATGGGCTAATCCCAGTTAACCTCTCTGGTCATCTGAGGCGACTGGAACTCCGTGACGGACCGCTCCGGGCTCAAATGCAGAAGGCGGTGCTCCTTGATACTGCCCGCATCGTCCGCCGGTTTCTTTCCCTTTCTTCCTAACCCTTGGCCGTTTGGTCTCCCCCTGCCGAGGGCTTCCATCTGGTTGGGCTTTTATTTATTTATGTATTTTTGTATTTATTTTATTTTATTGATATTTATGTATATTTATCCTTTCATTTTCGTTTATAATTATATATTTATACATCCCAACTAGATGAGAAAACTATATAGATACCCCACACATAATAATAATAATAAAACTTTATTTTTAATAATAATAAAACTTTATTTCATCGGCAGACTGATATGCTTCAGATCAGGCAACAACAGGCCAAGAATTGTGCGCACCGTCAGGATGGCGTTTGCTGGGACAAATGTCAGTTTGTCCCAGCCGGATATAACGCAAAAACTGACGGAGCGCATAGATGATCTGAAGCAGAGAATCGCTGCTTGGGGAAAGCGGATTCGGCGATATACCGAGAGGTCGACACGGTTCAACCAGAATCGTCTCTTCCAGAGTGATCAGAAGAGGCTCTATGAATCATTGGAGCGACCAATGGTAAGTGGAACGGGTCCAGCACCGAATCAGGCCGACACTGTAGCATTCTGGCGCGGCCTGTGATCAGAGCCCGTAAACCACAGCGAGGGCCCTTGGACGGAAGTTGTGGCGAGTCAGTGTGCGGGTATTACGCCCATGGACCCCGTCATCATAACGCCGGATGACGTAGCTGAGGCGGTTCGTAGGGCCCCGAACTGGAAAAGTCCGGGGCTTGACGGGCTGCATCACTACTGGCTGAAGGGGTTCATGGTGTGTCACTCTGTGCTCGCCCGACAGTTTCAAGAGGCTCTCAACCAGAAGTCGCTCCCAAGCCTCTTCACTACTGGGATCACTCATTTAGTTCCTAAAGACCAGGGTACCACAGACCCGAGCAAATACCGCCCCATCACGTGTCTACCGACCATATACAAGACACTAACATCCATTTTGAGCGCGAGAATCACTTGTCACCTGGACTCAAATCAGGTGATGTCGCGCGCTCAAAATGGATGTCGGGGGCGGTGGTCGTGGAACCAAGGAACCACTCCTCATTGACGCGGTCATTGGCAAAGTGGTGAAACGCAACCGTCGGAACTTCTCCGCCGCCTGGATAGACTACAGAAAGGCATTCGACTCGGTGCCCCATACATGGCTAAAGAGAGTCCTCGAGCTGTACAAGATAGACTGTACAGTTAGAGACTTCCTCGAGCAGTGTATGGGGCAGTGGAGTACGATCCTTTGTCATCTAGGCGAACGGATGATGGCTGCGGAGAACCACATAAGGATAAGAAGGGGTATCTTCCAGGGCGATTGTCTGAGTCCAATCTGGTTCTGCCTCTCTCTGAACCCTCTCAGTACCTTAATGGAGGGCTCCGGGAGGGGATTTCAGCTACGGAAAGGAGGGACAAAAGTGACCCACCTTTTCTATATGGATGACCTCAAGTTATTCGCCTCCAGTCGCTTCCATCTTATGGAATTGCTAAACATCACTTGTGAATTTAGCAATTCCATTGGAATGGAGCTGGGGACGGATAAGTGTGCGGTCCTCCATGTTGAAAGGGGAAGGGTTGCTAACTCTGAGGGCGTAGACTTATCTATGCCCGTCAACTTAAGGACCCTTTCCGAGGCTGAAACATACCGATACCTGGGTATGTCACAAAACATCGGTATCGATGAGACTGGTATGAAACAGTCAGTTTGCGACGTGTTTTATGCACGCTTGACCAAAGTGCTTAACAGCCTTTTGTCCGGTGTGAATAAGGCACACGCATATAACGGCTGGGTCATGCCTGTCCCCATGTATACCTTTGGCATACTCAGGTGGACTCAGACTGAACTTAACGCCCTGGATAGAAAAGTCCGCACTACAATGACGTCCCATAGGATGCATCATCCGAGATCGTCGGTAATGAGGCTGTACTTGCCGCGGAAGCATGGTGGTCGTGGCTTCTTGAGCGCGCTCACCATGCATAATCGCGAAGTGTGCAGCCTCCGTGATTACTTCCTGGCGAGATCGGATGATCCATTCTATAAGGACGTCATTTCTTGTGATAAAGGACTTACCCCTCTATCCTTAGCCAACGAGTAATGGCAAGACCCGGCAGTGCAGAGCATTTCCGACCGGGAGACCGTATGGAAGGAGAAGGAGCTCCACGGGAGGTTCTACAAGGCTCTACATGAGCCTTTCGTAGACACAGTAGCCTCCCTCCACTGGCTACGCTTTGGTGATCTCTTCGGGGGAAACCGAGGGTTTTGTCTGTGCAATACAGGATCAGGTTATTAAGACCAACAACTATCGGAGATACATCCTAAAGGATGGCACCGTCGACATCTGTCGAGCTTGTCGCCATCCCGGTGAGTCACTTAGGCATGTTATCTCCGGTTGTTCGGCGCTTTCTAACTCTGAGTACTTGCACAGGCACAACCTAGTAGCCAGAATTCTACACCAGGAGCTCGCTCTGAAATACGGTCTCGTGGATCGGAAATTGCCGTATTACAAGTACTTGCCGGAAGCCGTGCTCGAAAATGATCGCGCCAGGCTCTATTGGGACCGGGCCATCATCACAGACAGGACTATTCTTGCGAATAAGCCTGATATTGTGCTGATGGACCGGGCACAGTCAAGGATATTTTTGGTCGACATTACCATTCCGTATGACGAGAACCTCGTGAAAGCCGAAACAGACAAGCAAACAAAATATCTGGACCTGGCTCACGAGGTGACTGACATGTGGGGTGGTCTGCCGACCGAAATTATTCCTGTAGTCGTCTCTGCAAACGGGCTAATCCCAGTCAGCCTCTCGGGTCATCTGGGGCGGCTGGGACTACGTGGCGGACCGCTCCAGGTTCAAATGCAGAAGGCGGTGCTCCTCGATACCGCCCGCATCGTCCGCCGGTTTCTTTCCCTTTCCCCCTAACCCTCGGCCGTTTGGTCTCCCCTGCCGAGGGCCTCCATCTGGTTGGGCTTTTATTTATTTATGTACTTTTATATTTATTTTATGTTATTGATATTTATGTATATTTGTCTTTTCATTTTCATTTATAATTATATATTTATAGCACCCAACCAGATGAGAAAACTATATAGATACCCCAAAATAAAACTTTATTTAATAATAATAATAATAATAATAAAGAGGCGTAGGGAAGTGACGACCCCATCGCCCGCTGACGAAACAGTTAAGTGACAAAACTGCTACGTCGGTGCAATCAGTCAGCGCCTTGCCAAGAGGTGTGAGCGCCGTGCCTCGTCAGTACTCAGGGTGCAAAAGCCCGTTTGTGCTTACAGCCGTACAATGATACAATGAAACGGTGCCGGGCCTGGGCGTCTCCCGTTAATTGTCGCCCAAAAATGGATGATGGATAAGATTGGAAAACGTATAGGGCCGCTGCCTGGGGGTCGCCGGGCGCGTCTGGAGCTGGCGCTGGACGCGGCAGCATGCGGGCCGCCAGCCGAGCGCGAGGAGTTGCAGGATCACCTAACAGCCCCCGCATCCATCATCCCCACCAGACGGCTTGATGTCGGCAGGGTCCTCTCAGACTCGTCAAGCGGCATCCGCCGCTGGTGGAGTGCGCCGCATGCGTTGGACAAGGGATATGAACGCAAACGCATTGCGGGTGTACTATAAGGCGAAAGGGGAAGAAACTGCGGGGATAGCGTATCGGGCTCGGATGCATTGCTTTTTTGCTGAGTTGGAGCCGTCTATTCCCGTCACGGAACAAAACCTGACAGACCGAGTTCGTTACATCATGCGCTCGAAAATATACGATGATGCCGAGCTCGAACGACTACGACGTAAGGCCATTCCCTCATTGAATGAATTGGCTACGGCTGGGGATGAGGCTCCTCAGACGACAGACCAGCTGGCACGCGTAGAAGCCGCCACGGATCTTCCAGTTGTGGTTGATTCAGACGATGACGAAATGGTCTCTCACGAACTAGAGCAAAGAGGAGTATATTGGAAGAGGCGATTTTGGAGACGCGCAGCATGCCTCTCGAAAATCGACCGCGACTTCCCCCGCATACCCCTAAGCAAGCGAAATCGGGCTGTCGTGAGGGCTCTTAACCCAATGCTGGTAACCTATTTGGAAGCCAGCCGGGACCTTTGCGAGACGGACTCAGTTCTTTTTGGCGCCGCAGTGGCAGCTTGCCGTATTATTGGCGCCAAACTTCCCATGGCTGGACGCGCTACTAAACAAAGTAGCGCCATCCCAGCCTGGAGAAAAAGAATTGAGGACCGTATCGCAAAGGCAAGGGCCCTTATCGGCAGACTGATAAGCTTCAGGTCGGGTAATTATAGACCGAGTGTTGTGCGCACCATTAGAATGGGCGTTTGCTGGGACAAATATCAGTTTGTCCCAGCCGGATATCACGCAGAAACTAACGGAGCGCATAGACGACCTGAAGCAAAAGATTGCTGCTTGGGGAAACGGATTCGCCGATTTACCGAGAGGTCAAGGTGGTTCAACCAGAATCGTCTCTTCCAGAGTGATCAGAAGAGGCTTTACAAATCATTGGAGCGACCAGAGGTATGTGGCGCGGGCCCAGGACTGGATCAGGCTAACACTGTCGCATTTTGGCGTGGCCTGTGAACAGAGCCCGTAAACCACAGCGAGGACCCTTGGACAGAAGTTGTGGCAAGTCAGTGTGCGAGTATTACGCCCATGGACCCAGTCATCATAACGCGGAATGACGTAGCTGAGGCGGTCCGTAGAGCCCCGAACTGGAAAAGTCCGGGACTCGACGGACTGCATCACTACTGGCTGAAGAGGTTCATGGTGTGTCACGCTGTGCTCGCCCGTCAGTTTCAAGAGGCTCTCAACCAGAAGTCGCTCCCTAGCCTCTTCACTACTGGGATCACTCATTTGGTTCCTAAAGACCAGGTTACCACAGACCCGAGCAAATACCGCCCCATTACTTGTCTACCCACCATATATAAGACACTGACATCCATTTTGAGCGCGAGAATCACTCGTCACCTGGAGCTAAATCAGGTGATGTTACGCGCTTAAAATGGATGTCGGTGCGGTGGTTATGGAACTAAGGAACCACTCCTCATTGACGCGGTCATTGGCAAAGTGGTGAAACGCAAACGTCGGAACTTCTCCGCCGCCTGGATAGACTACAGAAAAGCATTCGACTCGGTGCCCCATACGTGGCTAAAGAGGTTCCTCGAGCTGTACAAGATTGACTGTACAGTTAGAGACTTCCTCGAGCAGTGTATGGGGCAGTGGAGTACGATCCTTTGTCATCTGGGTGAGCGGATGATGGCTACGGAGAACCACATAAGGATAAGAAGGGGTATATTCCACGGCGATTGTCTGAGTCCAATCTGGTTCTGCCTCTCCCTGAACCCTCTCAGTACCTTACTGGAGGGATCCGGGAGAGGATTTCAGCTACGGAAAGGAGGGACAAAAGTGACCCACCTTTTCTATATCGATGACCTTAAGTTATTCGCCTCCAGTCGCTCCCATCTTATGGAATTGCTAAAAATCACTTGTGAGTTTAGCAGATCCATTGGAATGGAGCTGGGGATGGATAAGTGTGCGGTCCTCCATGTTGAAAGGGGAAGGGTTGCTAACTCTGAGGGCATAGATTTATCTATGCCCGTCAAATTAAGGACCCTTTCCGAGGCTGAAACATACCGATACCTGGGTATGTCACAGAACATCGGTATCGATGAGGCTGGTATGAAACAGCCAGTTTGCGACGTGTTTTATGCACGCTTGACCAAAGTGCTTAATAGCCTTTTGTCCAGTGTGAATAAGACACACGCATATAACGGTTCGGTCATACCTGTCCTTATGTATACCTTTGGTATACTCAGGTGGACTCAGACTGAACTTAACGCCCTGGATAGAAAGGTCCGCACTACCATGACGACCCATAGGATGCATCATCCGAGATCGTCGGTAATGAGGCTGTACTTGCCGCGAAAGCATGGTGGGCGTGGCTTTCTGAGCGCGCTCACTATGCATAGTCGTGAAGTGTGCAGCCTCCGTTATTACTTCCTGGCGAGATCGGATGATCCATTCTATAATGACATCATTTCTAGTGATAAAGGGCTTACCCCTCTATCCTTGGCCAACGAGCAATGGCAGGACCCAGCAATGCTTAGCATTTCCGACCGGGAGCCCGTATGGAAGGAGAAGGAGCTCCACGGGAGGTACTACAGGGCTCTACATGAGCCCTTCGTAGATACAGTCGCCTCCCTCAACTGGCTACGTTTCGGTGACCTCTTCGGGGAAACCGAGGGTTTTGTCTGTGCAATACAGGATCAGGTTATTAAGACCAACAACTATCGGAGATACATCCTAAATCCGCCGGTTTCTTTCCCTTTCCCCCTAATCCTGGACCGTTTGGTCTCCCCCGCCGAGGGCTCCCATCTGGTTGGATCTTATTTATTTATGTAGTTTTTATGTTTATTTTATTTTATTGATATTTATGTATATTTATCTTTTCATTTTTAATTATATATTTATAGAACCCAACCAGGTGAGAAAATTATATAGATACCCAAGCTTTATTTAATTCCATGCATAGTATATATTAAACGATACATTTCTTAACTTATAACATTCAATTACATTTGTATACTTATTATTTCAGTTAGTTAATAAGCTTTACTAAGAATTATTTAACTGTTGAGTTATCGGTAAGAGATGCAGGTAATCTATGAATGCAGGTGTTTCAGGACCCTGATTTGTGGCTTTTTTTGAGGAGGTCTACCAAAGCAGTGATGTAGTTGAGGCATTTGGACTTAAGATGGGCGGTTAAAATTAAAATGATGATGATGGCGCAGTTCGTTTAGTGTTAGTTAGGATGGGTATGGATATTTTAGCAGAGATTTTAAATATCGGTTTTCCACCCGCTTTTAGATAACTCCGCTGTTATTCCATCCTAGCCGGGGATATTGCCATTTTTAAAGTACTGGAGAGCCATTCTAATCTCACTTAAACTAACGTTCGGGATATTATCGGAATAGTGTCGGAATAGACTTGCTCTGAGATAGTTATTCGCACTTGCATAAGGCTCCAAGGATGACGTGTACAGCTGCCCAAAAGATTTATTAATCTCACTCAAAATCTGATGTGTCCCGGAATTACATTTAGAAGCGACAGTAGCCTAATGGCAAGACGCGGACTGAGAACTCAAAAAGGTCGTGGGTTCGAATCCGCTATTCGACTACTGGCGTGAACCACTCGTAACACAAGCAATTTAAGCTTACCACGAGTGGTTAAGGGGAATATTAGTAATGTTTATACCATTGTTAATATTCTTTTAAAAAAAATTGATGGTGCCACATTCCATCTTCACCTTCGAAATTTGGCTTTTTCTAGCTGACCAATCTCTGAAGAAGAATTTGGAGGCCTGGCTCAGCTCGATCACTTTTTCAATACGAGCTGTATTGAACTTGCGTAAGTCCCGCTGCCTGAGTTTGAAGATCCGTCAGTTCAGTTGCCTGTATGCTTCTAAATCTGCTGAAGACTGAAGCTACATTTGCCATCTGGCAGTCATAAGATTAAGAGTGTGATTGTAGAGTTTTTATGTCATCTGCAACGGTTCTTGCAGAACTTAGCTCCAACACTATTGACAGTTTCCACGAACTTGTTACTTCTATCGTCCACTTTATTGCAGTCTTCTAGGCACTGAAAACTGTTTTCTATCGCGAACTGAATGTTAAGTTTTCGTGAATTTGGATTAGAGAACGAGGGGGATGAAATATTCACTTCATTAGACGTGACCTCTCCAAATTAAAGTTTTGAAACTGGGCCGTTTATTTATTTCGTTGCTCAAAGGGAGATATTCGACATAGTTGCCACGCTTGGAGTGCGGGTGGCAACCGCAGTTTTTGATTATATTATTGCTTTTATCAGAAAGATGCTACTGCCAATCCGCTGCCTCAGTTTCCCTCTGTCGCCTGTTAAGACACCCACGGGAAAATGTGGTGTAAGGGATGTTCTTCTCCACCACTACACGGTACCTACAAACATAGCCATTATATTTATCATTTATAGAACGATTAGAATTAATTGAAAATTTACCAGTAAAATCTAAACCCTTGTGCAAAAAAATAATGCTTAAGCGTGGTTTATGACGCTTTGTGATCTTATACATAATGTTGTTATCATAATAATTCCTTATATTTACGCGAACACTACAACAACATATTGATTAAAACTAATTTTTTATCGCGTTTAATTTATTTGATTTTTTAATTCCTGACGTTTCGGCTACTTTACAGCACCCATGGTCGTGGGGGACTGAGGTGGCTGACGTCCCGATGTCAATGTTAATCCGGAGTACCTTCAGCTTTTTAATTATTATTTATAGTCCGGTCTAATCAGAATTAACTTATTGTGTCTTGTAGTCAAGTCAGTGGTATGATTGGGCTTAGTTTCAATTTTATTAATTATAGGATCCTAAGCTGGTGGTTGTACCCAGCCGCCTTCTCTTTTAAAATTAGAAGGTTTATTTTAATTTCAATAGCCTCACGTATCAACCTTGCTAGGAATCTAAGTTCTTTTTCGAGGATTTGTGGTCTGTCAAATCTGATGTATTGGTGGGGGGCCGTCTAGAATATGATCACAAACTGCAGACTTCCCGGGACATTGATTCTTCACGTCAGCTACATGTTCTTTTACGCGGGTTCTAATTGATATTTTTGTTTGCCCTTTATATGAAAGACTAGATTCACAATCAAGCTCCTGCATCTTTTAGAGGAATATGACAATTGACGGTTGGTAAGAACGGACTAATTTTCTTCGGTGGCTTGTGGAATGTGACATCTGTGCCCAAACTTGTTGACGCGCATTACCTGCTTGACCTGCTGAAGCGCAGGGGGGTGTTTTTGCTGTCACAGATCCCTCGTGCTCTTTGTAACATACAACCGTGGGCAATTTTTTTTACCGGAGAGTTCAGAAAGGCTCTCCTCCACCCCCACAATTGATGCTTAGGTGGTGGACACGGGGGTTGTTCGTTGCCTCTTACGTAGGGCCCCGAGGTGGCGCTTACGGTGTGTTCGTATGCCACTATGTGAAGAAGACATCCAGTCGGACCCTGTAACGGCTATTGCCGAGGTTGCGGTAGTGTGCGAATGCCATCCCGTATCCCTCACTAAGTTGAAGAAATGAACACCCTGGAGTTTTAACCGGTAAGATTCCAACATAACCTGTCTGACGCTTTAGGAACAAACGGGTATCCATGAAGATTTTCCCACGCAAAAAGAAGGTTAGGTTCGGTTCCATCCGTACGGGTTCCAGCCTTGCCATGGCGGGGGGCTTAGTAGCCGTGTATTGGTAACCAACGGTGACAAAGAGGAAACCACTTGGCTGGTCCAAGATGTAGGGCCAAAGCATGGCGGCCACTCTGAGTGGTATTGGTGAGCGCGAGCTCGGGGAGGGGGGTCCGTTACACAAGTGAAGTTAGAGGACACGGAGGAGAATCACTTTGTGTTCCTGGTGCATATTATTTGAAAGAAAAGGGGAGAAGAAATCCTCCTGGACGTCGGGCTGCCATAGCGCGGCCGGCGCTTGTGGGGCCGCGAATGTGTGCAAAGATATTCTCGTGGCCCTGCCAATATGCGGCAAAG